AATAAAAATTAATTTGCAATAACTAACCATATAAATCAAACCTAAGAATTTTTTAATGAGAAAAAATAGAAAAGTAAATTATAGGTAAATAACAGCAACCTTTGTTGTAGTAACTTCATGTACGGTGCTTTCAATATCATTTGATGAGACTATAACAAGTGGCAAAATTAATGTGACCAATAAAACCAAAAACATTTTTTATTGCTCGTTCTTCAATACACTCGATTTCACTTAATTAATTTAATTATTTTTAGAAATTATATAAATAATACTTCCATCTTTCCGAAAATAAATTAAAAAACTGGAAAAACGAAATAAAAATAGTTGTAGGATGAAAGAAAAAGAACAAAATGCCATCCACTGGGTTAAACCCATAATAAATCGAATAAACAGATCAATAAGTGAGCCAAAATTCAAGAACTGAATCGTCACCAATTAATTCATCCATACACTAAAATAAGAAATTTTCAATATTTTCAAAAATCAGATTTTCAAAAAAATCGAAAATGAAAAAATCCATAATGAAGGAAAAGACGAGCAAATTAAATGAACGAACAGCAAGCAAATGAGAGTTCAGCGGTTATTACGGCAGATAGGTTCATTCTATTTATAAAAATAGTATAAACGAAAGACAACAAAAGAAGAAATAATCGATAAGCAAAGAATAACGAAACACGCCGTTATTAACATTTTTTTTATACCATGACTTTCTGATAATTTGGTGGCTCCAAAGGACCCTTTATTAAAGCGTGCGGACTTCTCGAAGTTTATGAACTCCTTTTGCTGTGAGTCCTTTCTCCACATATTTTCGAGTGCCAGTGGGTTATATACTACTATGCGATACTTCTAGTAATACCTCTCACTTCTAGTGATAATGATAACAAACTGATACATATATATATATATATATACATATATATATATTTCTTTCTTCTTTATCTCTATATTTATAACTTAATGAGAAGAAATTTACAAAGAAAATTTTTCTTTTTTTCAAAAAAATATCCATTTCTTTTGCTCAGTTAATTATATTTAACCATTAATTAATTTTTTAATCAATTTTTCCGTTCTCGGTAAATTAATTAATTTGGTATTTTCTATCATTTCTCCTAATTATTATAATATAATCTAATATTCATCTTGAAATTCGGTTAAATTATAAAATTATAAAAAATTACAACAAAGCACAAAGTAATGTTTTGTCAAAAAAACAAATGCAACCCAACGGGGCGCACTTTGGTGCAAATAAATCCCATGGATCCTAGGCCGACAAAAAATTTAAAAAGGGAATGATGATGGTAGGAAGTAATCGCGAAAGACTCACGCGCTGAAATTCAAAATATGCAGATAATCGTTCCAAGACCCCAAACTCCATGCAGCTATTTAAATAAATAAGCTATTTAGACAAGCGATATTTCATTATCACGCCATGGGGAAATCAAAGAAGGATGGATGGTGTTTGGGTTTCATATCAACATAGCGCACACGTTTTAGTGGTCACCAAAATATGTCGCTTCTTTTTAGATAGGTAAAGAAATCAATTCAGGGCAGAGCACTATTATAAATGGCGATGAAAAGTGGATATTATGCGATAATCCGAGCCAACTGCACTAGTATTATTGCAGTTATTATGATTCGCAACACCTCTCTTTGCTGATATTTTAATTGATTCAATCGTCCTTTTTCAAACTTCCCTTCTCTCATTTTTTTCATAGGCCCATTGATGTGATCAGCGCGCTTTACTTCTGGCCAGACTTGCCCTACTGGCTGTTAGAAATTCTTGCGAGGGGTCATTCGGCTAGAATCACAGATAAATCGCCGGCAGCACGGGGAGTTTTAATGGCAAATCTATTCCCGTCCGGGTCAGTGCGATAATCTCAGCCAATACATTCGATTGTTCTCCTCCCTATATTAAAAAATTCATTATTATTTATTAGAAAATTTATTTTGCTTTTTTTAAAATAATTTACATAACAAAAACAAAAGAAAAAGAAAAAAGCGAACAATGCGAAAAAAAAGAAAATTCCTGACAAATTTCTTATGAATGCAGTTTTTTGTTTACAAACGATAAATAATTCTTTCTTTTTTGAAATCAGCGATTATTGTTTGACATTTTTTTTCAAAAAAATTTTACAAAGTGAACAACTGACAAAACCCAAAAATATTGCAATTTGTGGACTATTTATGAAAAAAATAAATAAATATGCAATTTTTCATATAAATTCATAAAATTTATATTTTGTAATCCAAAAAGGTAAAAAAGCTAGAAAAAGACAGTTTTTCGGCAATACTTCGCAAATTTTTATTCGTTTTGCAATATTTATTGTATAAATTTAAACAAATCGTAAGTAAGTACAAGATGACCGCGAATATATGTACATATACAAACATTTCACCGTAAAAATCAGCTTTCGAGAATAATTTAGCGCAAAATGGAATACGCGAAAATCTTTGGAAAATCATTTTCCAAGTATACATACCCATATAAATACTCATATTTTTTCAATATTTTTTCATTAATAAAATAAAAATTTGCCAAACTGCTGAAGCAGAGATTATACTGTTTACGTGAATCCATATCTGAATAATGCTCTGAACAATGCCGACGAAGTGCAAAGTAAAGTCCAACTGCATGACAAACAACGTAACCAATAAGCGGCGATGAACTGCTTAACACACACAAACACCAACACCAAGTAGAATATTCCCGAATCTTAAATTTACCTTTCATAAAAACCAAACCGAACCAAAAAGTTCCAAAGCATTGCTAAAAATTTTGGCCTAAAAGTCCAATTTTTTAAATTGCACAGTAATTTGCAAATGCTATGAAATACGGCAAATTTTAAGATATTTCTTGGAAAATCAAATGGAGTACTTGTATCTATTTTCGTTGAAAATTTATCATTGGAAACCATAGCTTCTTTTGATGTATTCGTCCTAACTCTCGAGCTTCAACCTCGCGTCCCTTGGCCTTCAACCTCGCATGGACGCATTCGTCCTAACTCTCGAGCTTCAACCTCGCGTCCCTTGGCCTTCAACCTCGCATGGACGCATTCGTCCTAACTCTCGAGCTTCAAACTAGCATAAGACTTTAAATTCATCTCTCCAGTAATTATTTATAAAAACTGATTTTAGCCAACCAATAAACATTTACAACAAATGGATTCAAACATAAATGATAACAGAAAATCTTCACGCGGTTTCTCAAATTAGCAGCTGCAAATTAGAGAATATTAATATTCGGATTGAGTATTTGTGGGTTTTATTGAGATGGAGCTTTTTGTTTTTGGATTTTGGTTTCAAAATGATTTTTAATTTATTTGATTTATTTTCCTATCGGTGAACTTTTGTTTAAATTTGTATTTTTAGTTTGGTTACCCTTAAAGGAATTTTTCCTTTCAGACAACTAAACCGTTTGAATTAAGACAAATGGTACTTCCTTCTTGCCTGGCGGCCTTTTAAGGTGGATGGTACTTCCGTATTGTCCGATACAATGCTAGGAGAATGGTAGTGGTAACGCGTTTTGTGGAGATTAAACATTGCTACATCGAATTTATTTTTTGCTACCAAAAGTTGCAATTTTTTGCAGCTTCTTTGTCCAAACTTTTTTTTTTATTCGTGAAATTAATTAAAAATAAAAATTAAGAATAATGGCTTATTTTTCAATTTTTCATAGCAAAAAATTTCAATTTTTTCCAGTTTTAATACATTTTTACGGTACTCCCGCTTTTTTCTTTTCTCTTGTATCATTTATGGAAAATTCCGTAATTTTTTCCTAATATGGACCAATTCTGAAGCTAAATCCGTCCGGTATTTTCTCAGTTTGTTTTTCTTCTTCGAACAGCCTCACTGTTGGTGATTTGGCTGCCTGCGGCTGGCTACAGGAGAAAGGTGTTTCCAGGCTATTCTCCCAGATGCCATCGTCGACTGTAATAGAAGCCCTTCCTTTTTCCATCGTTTAAGTTCATATATCGCTGGTCTACCTATATATTCATATCCAAAATCTTTCCCGTATCAGTCCAGGTCCAGGTTTGTCTTGATTGGCCCTCCTCGCTTTTGATCATCACCATCAATCAAAGGCAAGTAACGGTATGTGTCGTCTCCTGTGGTGAGCGGCAAAGAACGTGCCTTTACCAACGAGGGCGATGCTGTGTGATGCTAATGCAGGTGCTGGATAAACATGGATGCAATCACGTGAGATTTTGTCCGTTTGGCGAATGCGTAAAATTTTAGACATGAGTTTTCAAAGGCAGACAGCTTAATATCGTCATTCTCAATAGCTTTGTATCACAGCCATATAAGATCGAGTGAGCGGCAGCTATATGGACAAGTGCTTCCGTTTTGATAATGATTTGGCTGTGGTCCCATAAAGATTTAGCGATCAGAATAAGGCATTTCTGGCTACCATTATTGTAATTCGTCTTTCGATTGGCGAGCGACATATTTTTTAGTATTATTTGCATTTCGTTATAACTGAAGCAAAAAGGCCACATCATCAACATATTTTGCGGTACCATGCTATGAAAAAATTTCCTCTTGAATACTGAAAAGCGATGCCCATTATCCAATCTACCGCGTAGTTGAATAGTTATAGTGAGAAGAACGCAGCTTTAGCGGATTGATTAGTTCTTATTTCGAACGAGTCTGTCAGTTCCCCACAAATCTGTGGCGACATTGATAACGTTGATAAAGTACTTTTATGAGTCGAATGATCTTCTCTGGAACACCGTCGCGTTCCATCACTTTCAACATAATAAATCAATCACTTATAGCATTCAGTTGATCTCGAAAAAATATGTACATTCCTCCAGCAACGTTCTCATTTCACTCTGGGTAGTTGATTTATTCATTCAAAAGACCAGAATAATCCTTGGTGCTTGTGGCCACTTGTAAAACAACTATACCATCCCGACTTACATTTTTTTTGACTTTTCGTTTTTCCACATTTTATTACGAGCCTTTTATTGAACAATTAAAGAATAATTTAAAGTTAAAACAAAATGGAAAACAATATGGAAGATTTAGCAAATTTGACTGTGCCAAATCCGGTTATGGAAGTTTCATCGACACCAATGAATATTTTCAACGAAAAAGTGGGGAAAACAGTAACTGATAAATTTTCCACACCAGTGAAGTCTACACTACCCCCGTTTGTTTTTTTTTGTTATTTAATTCATAATTTGTTTTTATATTTACATTTTTTACGTATCATAATATTTTTGCATTTTTTCTTATATAATTTTATTTTTTATTTTCCATTTATTTTTTGTTTATAAGTCTTAAGTAAACCAGATTGCGGACAGAAATATACAGTCATTTATATTTTCTTTTTTCATCTTTAAGACTATATAAAAATAAGAGAAAGAAATTTATGGGATACCTTTTTTTATTACTCTTAAAAACAAACTATATTTATGCCTATAATTTATTTTTGTTCTTAAACAACCGTTTTTATGCAAAAAATAGAAAAAAAATTTTTAAATAGAAAAATTTTTTAAATGTTTTAAATAAATTAATAGTCATAAAAAATACAGTTTAAATTTGCAAAAAAAATTTTAAAAAATAATTCTGTTAGAATCTGATATGACAAAAATTTCGATGGCAGGATTTTTTATTCGTGATTTTTTCAGAATTGATTCGCGCACGATTACTCGACCATCGAAACGAGCGCAGAATTTACCTGAAGTGGCACAAAATTCACCTGAAATAACACAAAAATCAGCTGTGAAAGGTGAAAATTATAGAAATGCTTTTTCATTTTATGTACGGTACAGATCATTTTTGGTTAGGCCTTTTCCTTCATTTAAAATCAAAGTTTTTCACTAGATTGTCAATTTTTTAAAACAATACTCACCATGCTGGTTAGATTCCCTCCTTTGATTTGTTACACTAGACAAATATGCTAGAGAGTCTCTTATTAATCTCTTAATCTCTTGATAGAAGTACAAGTGAATGGCCAGCCCCGGATTTTTGGACAGGATTATTCCTTTACTGGAGTAAAATCGGTGTTTCCATTGAGCCATTTCCACTCCCTTTTGTTCTTCTGCCCGATGAAGAGTGGTGCATCGGCGGATTCGAAGCTTCGATTCTCGAAGACAGTTATTTTACTGCTAAGCCATCGATGCACCAGATTATCACTTTGGGATAAAACTAAATTGAGTGCTAGCACGACTTATACGAAATATTGTATAGATTAAATGATTATTTTTGATTCATTTGGTTTATTGCTGTTGGTTTTTTATTTCGTTGAAGTGGACAGTACAAGTTGCGCAAAAAATGTATATTATGATAATTTAATTATTTTCTACTAGCTTTCACCTTTCATCCATTATTTGATTTTTTTTGTAGGGCTACATCAATTCATCAATTCATTGAAAGATTTGAAAGAAATAAAGTTGGCAAAAAAATTTTTTTAAATATAGGAATGCGATTATAATGACTCAGTGACTTGTTATTCTTATTTTGGAACGCCAATTGTGATTCTGTTCCCTGCAGGAGCAAAACTGTTTTTCAGAAATCCGAATGATATCGGCGACTATATTTCTGTCAACCGACTCTTCGCCGACAAAGTTTGCCTGGTGCAAAAAGTCAACAGAGTGAGCCTAACCAAAAATGAGATAAACATTATTAGATAGAGATGCACTACCATTATTGATTCCACTTTTCTTTATGAAAATAATGTTTAAATCTAATTTGAGAATATTTTTTATTTTCTGATTTGAATAAGTTTTTTTAGCACAACCGGATGATTTGTCTTCGAGTTCAGAACAGATTAGTCGATCGTCTACAGAATCTGCGGTTTCTACCAAAAAGAGTGAGAAACATCAACAAGAACAAACGGGGTTAACATTGCTGGATTCGTTATCATGCATAAGTTTATAAAAGGACGGTTTTGTAAATTTGATTATGTGGTTTTATCAATAATGGTAGTAATAGACTAAAAGGAATTATAGTAATTTAAATGTAGTAGAACATAATATAATTTTTACAAAAGAATTTACAGAAAAATTTAGAAGTCTAAAAACCGAAAAATAGCTGAAAAAAGAAATAGCAAAATTTTAGTGGTGAAAATAAACCTTCTCATCGTGCAAGGCAGCGAACAATTACTGTCCAAAGTCAAATAAGCCATGATATTGCTAATGCATTTAGTGAAGCTAAACAAGTACGTTTTTTTCATTAAAGATTTTGGGAAATTTATGAGAGGTCTAGGTGTCAGATCAGATTTTTATTTTAGATTTTTGTTGAGATATTTTAACATAAATTATCAATTTTTCTATAATCCAATATTTGTGCGAAGTTTAAAGTTGTACTCTTACTCTTTTCTAAACTTGAACTTATATTTTGAATTTCAGGAAAATTAAGTATAGTTTATTACTTTGCCTGGAACATTAAGTTTTATATCCAAAATATTTTTCCCTTATTTTGCTTTATTTGATTACTCTCCGTTTTCGATTCTATTAATTTGAATTATTTTAAATTTTTATTCTTTTTTTGTAATTTTTGGTTGTGATTTGATTGTGATTTTTGTAATTTTTGGTGAACACTGATGATCCAATGAATGAAGCGCAGCGGCGTGTTTTTGCACTTGTTTCTGCTAAAGAAAAGGAATGGTCAACTAAGCTGGAACGAGTAATTATTTTTTTATTATATTTTATTAAAATTCTTTTTGAGTTTAATACTTGGCATCTACTTTTTTCACTTTGAATTTATTATCTATTATTATTTTTAATAAATAATTTGCAAATTTTGTTGCTGTATAATGAAAATTTAATATAATGAAAATTCAAGGCTGGCCAATTATTAGCTCATGAACAAAAGCGCAATGAACCGCTTGAACAGAGAGCTGCGGAAAGATTGCTTGCAATGCATGAATACGAGAAACTAATAAAGGAATTGGTTGATGAATTAAAAGAATATAAAAGTGCTAATTTTTTAATTTTTTTTTGGAGTTCACTCATTATTTCTCATTAATCTCGCATCATTAGCTTGTCAGATCAGACAAATTTTGTCAAAGTCTATTGGATAGATATATAAGGGAATAGCTTTCCAGGAGTATAAAAGGGTGTAGGATGTAGGAAGGGTGTTTGAAATGTGACCAACAAGCCATTAAGCCATTCTACTCCTAAAGTTTTAATTTATTTAATAATTTTTAATAATTAATATTTTACCAAATAATGTGATTTTTAATTAAAATCTATTGGTTTTTTAGGTTATTTATGAAGTAGCCAAAATAATTTTAGATTATGTGAAAAATTTAATTCAAATTTTTTTCACAAATTTTTTATGTTAATATTATAGATGGAAGAGGCAGTGTTTTGGCAAATTCACCATCGAGAGGCCATTCCTGTGGGCTAGGGTCAGACCGTGTATTCTCACAAAGTGATATCGCATTGTTAATCAAGGAACGAGATCAACTATCTGAAGAAGTGAATTCACTTGAACTCAGTTATTGTGAATTGTTTCATCGTTATGAAAAGTTGCGGCAAACAAGTATCGAAATTAAGAAGGTTTTTTTTAGTTGAATTGTTTTATTATTTTTACGAGGCTTTTTGAGAAAAATCAGTATTTGTTTAAAGTACTTAGTACTTTAGATAATACATCAGTACATATCAATTTTTTTAAGAATATTTTTTGTTAAGAATATTTTTTGTATAAAAATGTAAAAATATTTTTTATTTAATGTTTAATGTAATATTTGATATAATATTAATAATATTTCATGTTCGTTTATTGATATTAAATATTAAATATTAATATTAATATTACTATTTATTAAATATTTAATGAATTTCATTTTGAACGATTTATTAAGATTTTTGAAAAAATTTAAAGTAAAGTAAATTATTCATTTATTCTAGTTTTTTCGACGTTTAGCATTGCACAATTTCGGAAGTTTTTAACTCTATTATTTATAGTATGGTGATGATATGAAAAGTGAATGTGAGGAAATATCAAAGCGCTATATGATGCTCACTGAAAAATTTAATGCTTTGAGGGCTAATGCTGAAGAACAACTCAATCTGTTAGTAGTTTTTGATAGCTTTAGTCTTTTTTCGACGATCATTGTGATTTGTTTTAATGTTTTGAAGTTGTGTAAATAGTTTAGTTACTTTTTAAAATTTTTTCACGACATCGAGCAACATCTTTTGGAATTTTTTTCATTAATTGATTAAATTGTTTTTTTAATTGATTAAAGAAACAAATTAATTTGTGTTTTAATTTAATATTTTAAATAACTTGCAGCGCTAATGATGAGGTTGATAATCTACTAAAGCAGCATGAATCTGATACTTTAGCTCTTCGGCTGAAAGTTAAACAGCTAGAATCGAAAAATGAAACACTTACAATTAGTTTGAACGCCAAAGTGAATTCCTCTTTCTTTAAATTTCATTTGATATTATCGTTTGCAGTACAGTAATTTTTATAATGAATCATTTTTAAAATTTCAATTTTTCAGTAAATTAGTTTTTTTGATAGGGATATTTTTTTGCAAAAAATATAGAAATATTGTGTTGTAAAATGTAAAAATATAAAAAATATTGTAAATAGTAAAGATATTTTTTTACTTAATGAATTTCATTTCGGATGATTTATGAAGATTTTTGAAAAAATTGAAATTTAAACTAATTTCTTCTGATTGGTTATTTTTTTCGAAAATATTAAATTTTTAAAAAAATTTCAGCAAAAAGAAGTGGATCAGATGACAGCTCTCTTTGAAGAGGTCATTAATAAAGCGGAGGCAAATACTGATGTCGACGAATAGAAAAGGAATTAATCATAAGTCACTGATTTGAATAATATATGATCTGTATAATATATAATACATATATAATGTACTATCTGTTTGTTGCAGAGAATACGTAGGAATCAAAGTGATAAATTATGAAAATTCATGGATTCTTGCATTCTCACTTCTTATTAAAATTGAGAAATCTGCAGAAAGAAATACTATTGTGAATAAATACTGTTAAAATGGTATAAAATACCAATTTGACAACAATTTTTATTTAACGGCTAAAATTTTAGATAAAAAATTTTTCACAGTTTTTTTCTATTTCAAGTTATTATGGAAACGCTGTATTCATATTTTTTATTTTTCATATTTTTTAAAATATTTTGGAAAAAACTTTTTTTTCCTCTCATTTGGTGATGGCGTGAGAAATATAAATATTGGTTGGCTAACTCTAAAGCTCTAAGCGATTTTACTCATTTTTTATTTCTGCCAAGTTGATAAATGATATAATGTATCGTCAAAATTGTTGAATTGGGAGAAGGCTTATGGTTTAATTGAAATGAGTAAATAGGTTCCATTGGAATCTTAATTTTAAAAAATTGCTTTAGGTGTTTATATATGTTTGTACATATTTAAAATGGTGGCAAATGTTCAGTAATCTAAAATTTCAAATTGAGCGTTTGAGCGTTTCCGCGTGTAATTTCTTTAAATCCATTAGGAAATCAGGTTTTAATGATTTAAAGGATATCTAAAAATAAATTTTTTATAATTTATTTTTTTAGTTTCCTTGAAAGAAACTTTCATATATAGTGATTTTGTGCTAATTTTAGAAATATGTTAACAAAAATTTCGGTGATTATAAATTTTTAAAATATTTGTTCAAATTGATAAACTAATGTGCGAGGGATTTTTGATAATTTAACATTTTTATTTCAAATACAAAATAAAATTTGTATGTATCTAATTGTATGGAAAAAGTGATTGCTTGTAGAATTTGAGACATAACATGCTAATTTTCCGCCCCTCTGGCTCTTAGGATGAGACATTTTCACCAGCCAACTGGCGTAAAAAATGCAGTCGCGAAGCCTTCAGCACTATTCAGATAATGGTGCAAGTGGATATATGAGATGAGATTTAAATATTTTGAAAACGCATAAAATACACGAAGTATTTTGGGAAGTATTTTACCGTAATTATTACTATTGCAAATATTGCATCTAATTAGTTTTTTGCTAAAAACTAATCGATACTGTGATTTCGGAACGGTTTTGCGGTGTATGGTGAATTCATAATTTTTAACTAAAAAAGGTGCAGAAGTGTCGCCGATTTCACCGATGTCAACAAATTCTTTCATCGACTTATGTAAATGAAAAAATTTCAATTCGATTTCAATAAATACAGTTTTCGAAAATTGCATTTATTTAAATAATTTTCGTTTTATCGATTGGTTCAATAAATTATTTGTAAGTTTACGAATTGTATTTAATATTTAAAAATTATTCTTAATTTAATCAAGCAAATAGATCGAATATTTTATCAGTTAAGTCGGCAAAGAAAGCTGTTAACGCTCAGCATTCCTGGTCAGTTTCGTTGGCTGACGGTACAGAAATTTTTGCGAAGGAATCGCTTGGCTAGTAGTGGTCAGTGCAGATAGCTGGGTAAAGTCTTTTGATTAGTTGCAAATTAGTTTTTTTAAAGAGATATTTCTGATCAGCCTCGCTTCACTGGCAAATCACGAAATCTTTCTACGAAGTCACTTGGCGATAAAAACTTCTTCTAAGAACTTCTTCACCATTACTGGTTAGGCTGGCTCCAGTGCCTTCAAAAGTAAGACATTTCCAAACTGTGCGATCTGATGCCATCGTCGACAGTAATAGAAACCACTCCTTTTTCCATCATCAAAGTACATATATTGCCAGGCCACCTATACGTTCAAAATTTCTTTTCTGATCGTATCAGTCCAGGTTTTGATTGGCCCACCTCGCTTTTGACGTCACCCATCACAAGTAACGAAATATACGGCAACTCTTGTGGTGGACAACGGAGAACGTGTCCTAACCAGCGAAGGCAACGCTCTGTGATAACTTCATTAATGGAAGTGGCATTTGAATGAAGATGCATGCAGTCTTGGATGCGATAAAAAGTTGGTTACGGTTGGATCACTAGCATCACCAGGATTTTTAAAAGATAGATTTTTTCTTGCTGTGAATAGATCCTCAGCACCGGCGCTCCGAAGCGGCTGCAACAACCCTTTGAACCATTGTGCTATTATTCAAGGAATTAATTTTTATTTCAATTAAAAATTGATTTCGTATGTGAATTTGCATATGTCCACTTGCTCAAATTTTTTACGATCGTAGCCAAAGGCTAAATGGTTAAAGATATTTAACCGACTTTTCTTAGAGCAATCGTTAGCTTTTCTCGTTTTTTTTAAATTTATTTTGCAATATGCCGCTAATTTTAAGTAAAAATAAGTGATGAACGTTCAATATTTCTAGTTAGATTCGCTCCAATGTTTATTTGTTTATGAGGCAATTTGCCAGAGATTCACTCTGCGATCGAAGCTTATTAGATGAGCCCTCAGCAGCACTCGAATTTTTTAATGGCTAGTTGGCTACTGCTGCCAGCTGTAAGTAGTATCAGTTTCAGTTTCTCATAGCACAGCATTTCTGATATTTCGAGTACTTAAGATCCTAAAAAATAAAAAGTATTTCATAAATCTAAGCCAGTACTAATATAATCTTTATTACAAATTAAAAGTACGGTAGATTAGAGATAGAATCGTTCAGTGGGTTGTTGATCAGTTTGGAGCGCTGGTGCTGACGTTCGATTCCCCGCGGGAGTAAACCTGTACAAAAATCCAGGTGATGCTGGTGACTCACCTGTATTTCTATCGCCAAGGGACTCCCTGGCATATTGCTCAATGCGACCAGCCAGTGGAGCGAGTTTAACCCGTAATAGTGAGGATTCTTCAAAAAAAATAATTTAGTACAAGTAAGTTTGTATTTTTAATTTTATTTTGCGAGAAATTTTCAGGGAAACGAGAGAAAAATTGGATTGGACTTTTACAAAATTTCTTTTAAAAAGAATTTTCATGCAATCTTTTGCAAACAAGGCAAAGATTGGTGTTTCGAAAATTTCGATACCTTTAGCATGGAATAATTCTCATCATTTTTGGAGTAAAAAAGGTAAATATTTTATTTCATATTCAAATAATTCATTCATCAATAATTGCAGTGCTACTTAAACATTTCATACCCCATGGTACGTTTAAAAAATTGTCCAAAAATCCCCAACTTTTCTTATATTTTATTCCGTCGATATTTTCCTCATTGCCATTCGCCTTAAATGAATTCTTTTCTATTGCAAATCTGAACTGAGAAATTTTAAAATTCACTTCACATTTTTAATTTACGCTAACAATAAGTAAAAGCGCCACATATCACATAATTAAATGCATTAAATAAACAACTTCTATAAATAAATTTTTTATTTAAAAAAAGAGTTGAGATGAATATTCGAGTGGGTTGCTGCTTAGTTCCAGCGTCAAGTTTTGGTTCTTACCTCCGACGATCGTGCCATTAAAAAGCCGAACGACTAGGATGTTTCCGCTTCCAAGTGACTCCTTTGCAAAAAACCTCCATCGCGTTAACATCAAGTGATAATCCAGTGAAATGATGAGCATTAACTGCGCTTTAAACGTATATTTTATGAATCACTGGAAAAAGACTCCCAGTAGCCTGCAAATCGCATATTTCGAGAAAAGCGATTCTATTTCTCTTCACGAAATCTCCTTTATTGGTGTTTTTTCCCACAAACATATAAAAATAAGAAATTTTAAGAAAACTTCACGTATTCAACGTTCATTACGGTACGGAGCAAGAAGATTGCCACTGGAAGTAATGACAACGTGACACTTAATGTGACACGTGTCAACAAATCCATCAATGATATCCACTTCAACGATTATTTCGTTTTGTAAGTTTTCGTTAGTCACATTGGGTGTTCACAGTCATTCAGTTCTAAATCACCTATTTCGATCATTCTCTTCTCGAATTCAAACAGTAATATTCGTCCTAATCTGTAAAATGCGAATAACTCATTCAATATTGTATGTGGGATTGTTCCTCTTCTGGCAACACTCACCATTTCTCATTTGGCTTATTTCGCTGGCTATTAGAATAAGTGCGCAGAGACCCGAATCACCGCTCGTCTGTTTTGTTCTTATTTACTTTTTTTGCATTAAAATATATAAAAATTAGAAAAAAACAAAGAATTTCAGCGATGACGAAGGAATCGATTTTGAAATTGAAATAAACTTTTTTTCGACAAGAATTGATGCTAATTGTTCCAATGGACCATTGAAACAAAAACTTGCACGTTCACTGGGAAGAAAACTAAAATATTTCCATGTTAGTTCAGCATTTCTTGAGAAAAATTAGCTTCAAAAGGTTTTTTGAATTCAATAAAATATAGATTCCACAGTTTTGGAATCTTTTAAATTCAGCAATATTTGAAAAATGCCACATTTTTTCCGTTTCATCTCTTTCAATTTAATATTTAATTCGATCGCAACGAAATGCTTCAGATTATTCAGATTTCCTTGTTAGAATGCTATAAAGATTAAATGTAAGCGTAGTGTTCGGTGGCCGGCCCATTAATGGTACCACCATAAGCATTACTGTTTATACGTTCTCTTGAAAAAAGACGAGTGGCTACCAACTTCGCTTCGCTGGCTATCAATTCACAAATGCAACACGCCCATCAAAATATTCCCGCAGAGACTGCCACATCGATACAAAATGCACAAAAATGCGCCAAAAATGCGATAATTGCGACCGAGAACCGAGGCCTGGGTTCGAATCTGGCTTCGTTGGAAGGCAGTTCGACTAACGGAGAAAACAAAGAAGAGTAGAATGGCTCGTGCATCGATGCCCAGATTTTACTCCCAGCAGGAGCAAACCGGTCCAAAAATCACCTGGTGGTGCTGGTGGTTCACCTCTATCTCTATTGCCAAGGGATTCTTTACCAAATTTGTCTATTCCGACAAGCCAGCGAATCGAATCTAACCAGCAGTGGTAAGTCCTCTTAAAACAAAAGTGTGCGTCGGTTCATGTTTTGGTTAAGTGTATGATACGTCTTTGCATACGTAGATATATATATATATATTTATATGAAATGCATATCGGTTTATCTGTGCGTTTAGGTTTCGCTTATCAACACCAGCACACGTACCATCATAGATCACACCAATAAGCTGGGAAAGTAACGCATGAACGCATCAATACAATATGCAGATAACAAACCACACATATTCACCAATGCACATTTGTTAGAAATAGGCACGTCAGTGCATAAAACAAAACACTCGCACCCTTATAACCCAAATCCTTACAAACATGTGTATGCTCACATTCATCTGCCACCACACCAGCACACCAATACCCTGTACATACTGTAGATTATGCAGAAAGCCGAAGCGCATGCACCCAAATAGCAAAACAACTCCACCACGTGCTCAAATATGCATTCAGTCGCACGTATTACTCGCCAAAACACCAATGATACTGCACATACTCCCTCGTCAGCAGACATCCCTGCCACCTCACATACACCTACGTGCACCAATTCTAGAGTGCTTTATTCGTCGGATTAATGTAATACATTATTGCGATATATTCAGCAGAATGATCTAAAACATGAAGATGCTTTATTCGAATCAAACGTAAACCATAGAAATAATCTTGACTTTCATGTCGTTGCAAGTGCAACTTTAAAATTTCATGATGCGAAACCCAAAATTGGAATATATGCAATGAAAATATCACCAGTTGGTTCGTAAATTCTTTCTATTATTCCAATTATTCAAATAGCATTTTTCTCTTCATTCTTGTAAATTTTCTAAGAATCTTTATATAAAATCTTTTAAATTAATTCCTTTCTTTCTAAATGGTTCTTTGGAAAAAAGTGCAAATTATAAATAAGTAATAAAGAACGGATAGTGCTAATAAGTAGTAACTTTTTGGCTTTTAAAATAAAATTTAATTAAGCGAATTATTACGGTCCACCTTTATATGGACATATTCGTTGCCGTCTTGTCGTTCAGCCGTATTCGATATTAGCGCCATTAATCAGTGGTTTTCTTACAGTTTATGATAACTATGAACTCAGTAAATATCCTAATTTACATTGCTCTCTTCAGGTTACTTCTTTTTTTGCAGTTTATCGTTTTCTTTAAACTTATACTTTGCCTAATTTTTTTAAAATTTTTTAAATTTTACAATTAAAATTAATTAATTAATTCTAAAAACTAAAATTTTTTGCAACTCTAATTAACTAATTACAACAAATTTTTGCGATTTATTTTTAAGTTATTATAAATAAAACGATTTAGGGAGGAATATTTCGTTGTAAAGATAAGTATTCTGAACACGATTTGTTAAAAATAACTCTAAATGAGGTTGGCACTTTATTTATTTGTGTTGACTTGTTTGTGTTGACTTAAACGTGTTAGGACAAAAGTGAGTCGCATAAAAACAGTCTTAGTGAATTAATTAGACGAATTTCCATCAGTATTAATAGGATTCGAGAATTGAATTTGGAAGGATTATTAATAGCATTGAAGTGGCAGTATCGAACCATAAAGATATTAACAGAAGGCAGCAAAAATATCTTCTCATCAGTAATCGTGAAAAGGATATCGCCGAATGGATGATTTGCTTAAAAAGACAAATTTATGATCTGAGTAAATTTTTAAGTTTTTTCTAAGTTTTAGCATCGATTATGGAAAAATAAATAAAGATGTAGTGATTAGTAAAATTCTAGCTTTTTATTCTAGCAATACCACTTCTACTTTATCACCCACTAACTGCTAAGCCTCCTTCGTCTGGTTGCCACTTGAAATATGCAGATAAAGTTTACAGCTCCATTCGGAAGTTTACAGCTAAGTAGTTTTCTCCATTTCATCTATATTCAGCTTTACTAACATAAATGAGAAATGTGACAGATTCTTAATTTTTGTCTTTTTTTTTTTTATATCTTGTTCCAAGAGTTCATCAAATTAATGGTTTAATGGTTTTTAGAGATTTGGGGCATTTTCGCTATGACAGAAGTAAAGTTGATTGATGAAAGGAACTATTTTACATCCATCTCAACAATAGCTCAAGCAGGAGCAAGAAAACTGTATGATGAAATTCAAATTCATGGTCCATGTTCAGGATTATTTTCATTTTTCTTTTTTCAAAAATTAAAAGTTTAAAAGTTTTTTTTAAGAGTTTTTTAAAAAATTCTTTAAAACCTCTTTCATTAAATAAAACTTATAGAAAATGATTTCAATTTTTAAAAATACTTTCTAATTCAGGGTTTTTTACTGGAAATTTAAAAGAGCGACATACTAAACGAACCGATATACAAACATTATTTAAGGTTGAATTTTCGATAAAAATCGTTATTCCATTTTATAATTATAGAGATTTTCATTAGTATTTGGAATAAAATTGACAAATTATAATGAAATACATGCCATTATAGAGATAAGCATTATAAAGGAAGGATAGCCAATAGCTGATAAACAATGAAGGAACCTATGAAACTGATGATCTGTGCTATATTTAATATTTTTTTTCAGGATTTAAATACTCTTAAAGAATCACAAGAACGAAGCGATATGCGATACGTGACAACACTGCATATTGGATATAATCCTGAAACTCTTGTAAACAGTTGGTTTTTAAGATTCTTTATATTTGGAATAAAATTCACAAATTATTGAAGATTGGATAAGCCATTAAATTATTCATTTATTTCTTGTAAATGAACGATAGAATATGGTCACCTTTACCTTTTATCCCCAGGCGACTTCCTGACGAAATCTTTCTGCAGCAGTGAAAGTAGTAAAATTAGAAATGAGTGCTGCAAGGAGAAAAAGAAAAAGCACGGAAATATATTCTCTCGAGGTCAATTAAGTATAAAATTTTTATAATAAATCTCTTTTAAAGACATTTTTCGAAATTTTTTGATGTGTAAATTTTTAGATTTTAAAATTATCGAAACAAATCTCAAAAGAAATCACTGCCAGGTTTACCGCTATTTTTTAATACTTTTTTGCTTATACTTTTTTGTTTTCGAAATTTCGATTGAAATGTGTAATCATTATAAAAGTAATGATGAGGCTTATTTCAAGTATGCATCTAATAATGCCACTTTGCGATTATATAAAATTTCTGCTGGACGAATAAACAATCATTTAAACCTACAATTTCTATCTGTCCGATTTGCAGCCAGTAAAGCGACGCAAGCGACCCGATTCTATAGATGGACAAAATTTTTGATTATCTAGAATGATTATCTAGAAAGGGTTTCAAGGCAAATACCACGATTCTGCAGCTGGGACATACCTTTTCTATCCGGGACAGTAACGAGAGAATGAGAGAATGAAAAAGTATAGGTTTTATAATAGACGTGGATTAGTGGAAAGATGATTGAGAATCCAGGATAGCTGGAATTTGAATCCGGTCAATGCACCAGGCTTAACGACAGTATCGAAAGTAAATGATAGAATGGCTCAGCGAGTCATTTTTGTAGTGCCAACGTTGAAGCAATCAAAGGTATCCCTGCCTTCAAGAATCCTAGTAATACTAGCAATTCACTTCCGTTCCTGCAAAATTTACCTGGCAAGCTAGCCTAATTAGCAATAGTGAGCGCTTTAAAAAAATGGGAGTTTAAGCCGACTCCACAGAATGCAGCAAAATCACAATGTCCAGTTTTTGAATAACATTTTCAATTTATTAATTTTAGACAAATAATTCGATCGAAAACGGAAAATTAAATGGACCTCACTTCGACATAAACGGAAAACACGAAATTTGGATAATATACCATTAATATGCTAAATATATTCCACCTAACCAACCGCCATCCTCTTTTCTTGATTTTCTTGTTAAATAAGCATAAAATGTGGTTTAGTACTATTTGATATATAGTTCTTTATTTAAGCACTTTTATCATAATTTGTAATGCAGTGGTATATTTTATTCTATTCATAAAACAATGACGATTCGATAAAATGGACACAAAAATATATTTTAAAACGACATATTAGAATATAACAACCACCTCATTACTTTTTTTAAACGCTTTTTTATCTATTATTTATCAATATTAGTTCTGCGACATATTTCACCGGAAATCAAATATCCATTTCAACGGAAAATAAAAAAATATGATCGATCGCAAGTGAGTTACAATAATGCAATAATTACAATAACGATTATAATATGAAAATATTATATAAAAAGTAATATTCATAGTAACAACCAAAATTATTTGTCTAAGGATGATGTGAGAAAAAATGCAGTAGTATATTTTAGCGAACATTACGTTTGTAACATGGGCTTGGCCTTTTCATTAATGTCTTTCACCGTTAAAAGTGGAAATCCAATGGTGCCGAGGACTCATCTGCGCTTCCCAGCAGATGTTTTGGCCGAAAGGTAAGGTAAGATTTTAACAAAGTCAGCCAAACCAAATAAAAAAGATTAGGAACTGGTTAGCAAATCGACAATGCCTTCATTCATAACAAAAAATTTTCCTAAAAACAAAATGTACAGTTATAGATGAATAAATGCAATAATGATAAAGACAGTAAAAAAACAAATTGTAAAAATTGACTTAAAAAGAAAAATGTATAAATGTTCCCTCGTAAATTTTTCTGTATTACATTAAATAAATACCAAACAATATAAAACAAATAGTCCATTAGCACATTTAAACATATATATATATATAAAGTATAAAATAAAATAATACAAAAATATTATATAAATGTTTACATAATATATAAAAATGATAACATAAAAACGCATTAAAATAAAAATGAAACCAATAGAATAACATGAAAGTACAAAAAATCGAAAAGAAGATTTAAGATTAATATAAGATTTCATCACAGCAAATCACCGGAAATTCTGAGTATAAATGAGCAAATGACAGGTGATATAGAAAGAACTAAGAATTGAAAACCAAACAATAAAATTAAAATGATGTAAAATGAAAAATATATTTTAAGTAAAGCTGACTTAAAAATAAAAATGAAATAAAAGTGTAACCAAAAATACTTCAAATAAGAATCGATTCGGCAACTTCCATTTTAGAAAGTTTGTTGCAACTTAATAACTGTTCCCTAAAAAAATTAGATAATTAGATAATTTAAACAATCAATAATAAGATTCACCAAAAGACGCATAAGCGAAAAAAAGTAAAAGTAATGAAATGAAATATGCACTGACTTGTCTTCTCGTGAAATATGACTCATACTATGTTGTGATCCAAAAATTGAGTTGATACTAGAGATAATAGAATTTAGTGATACTCTAGACGATACTTTCCTTATAGTATAATCATCCAGGCCTCGATGAACAACTGTTTCAACATTACCAGAAGCCAAGTAAGCCTTATGACGTCTAAATTCTGGATTCTCCAGTGTCCGATTTGTAGGCTTCCTGAAATAGAGTTTAGCATTGCAGCCTTCCTATATCATATAATTGAATCGCAAAGCAATTTAGATCCATACACAAATTTTATTTTCAGGCATTATTTTTTTAACGAAAGGTATAAAATTACTTGAATGTTTTCAGAAGAAGAGATGAAGTGACAACACTAACAGAAGATAATGCCATAGAAGCAGCTGCCATCCAAGGTTGAATGCCGAATCCAAATGGTAAAAACAAGCCTTAAAAAATGAAATCAAATCTGAATAGAGGAAAACTGTTAATTATAAAACTAACCAGCTGCTATAGGAATACTAATAGCATTATAGAATATAGCGAAGATAAAATTTAAACGGATGCGTTCAGTGGTTTTTTTCGAGAGTTTTATAGCTCCAACGACATCAATAAGATCATTCTGAAAGAAAAATTTCCATGAAAAAGGAATGGCTTAGGTAGACCAACACTGTGGGTGAGGGATCATAGATGAAAACTATAATCAGAATTAACCAAAGTGATTAAGCCTCAAAAGGCATAAAAATTTAAACAAATAAAAAATTTAAACAAATAAAATATAAGGAAATTTCTAAAATTTATCACCAAATCACCAAATTTAAAGAGAAATAACAAGTATAACCTTAACAAGAACAATTCCTGCACTTTCAATGGCGACATCGGAACCATTTGCAATTGCTATACCAACATCCGCACTAGCTAAAGCTGGACTGTCATTAATACCATCACCTACCATTGCAACACACTCCCCAACTTTCTAAAAGAAAATCTGATAAAACTTTAAAATAACTTTGAAATAATTACCATTATTTTAAAAAAATATGAAAGCAATCATTAATACCTGAAGTTGTTCAATTTTTATTTGCTTTTGATTAGGAAGCACTTCAGCGAAAGCTTCACGAATACCAACTTGAGCAGCAGTCGTCTGTGCAGTCCGCCAATTATCTCCTGTCAATAAAATAACTCGAATACCCATTTTCTGTAAGGCCCAAACAGCTAGCGGTGCTTCTTTTTTAATAGCATCAGCTATACTTATAACAGCCACACAATGACCTAAATGCAAATGATGAAAACGAAAAGAAAATCTGTAAATTAAGATATTGAGATATCAAAACAAAAAGGAGGAATGTTAGCAAAAAAAGAAATAAATCCTATAATTAATTATATTCGAAATTATAAGCTTTTCGAATATTTGAATTGAAATTATAAATCCTATAATTATAAACTTTTTCCAGTATAAATCTATATTACAATTACTATAAGCATAATATTATGATTTACTAATTGGAATAAGGAATTCATCTACCATTGATGGCACATATAACAGAGATATTTCCTTTAGCCTGCTCTGTTTCCATCACATTGCCTGTCACACTATTAACTGAAATCGCATTTTTTGCCAACCAACGCTCATTGCCTATGACAACGTGATAATCTCCTTCAGTCCGCAAATTATTTTTATTTGATTCTGCAACAGCGAGGTTTTCTAATTAAGTAAAGATTTTTAACAAATTTCAACTCAAATTAAACTCAAATAAATTTTATTTAATTTTAAACAAAAAACAAAGAACCAACGATTTTTATCCTGTAAATATTTCAGTTCAACACTCCCGTTGATGAGATGTATAAAAGAATCAACGCCAACATTCGTTAAACTTCCAGATGAATAAGAAGCTACGGATCTCGCTAACATTTCATCAATATTTGAAACGTCACATGAAATCCCATTTCCAGCTGATGTCCGGAATCGTTTAACTGTCGCATATTCACTAGTTTTTAAATACTAAAAAATTAAATTATACGTCTGAAAACAAGAAATTTATTAAAAAATTCGAAAACTCGAATCCAAGAATTCAAAAAAATCTATGAGTTCAAAAAAATTTAGTAAGAAAGACATTAAAAAAGAGAAGAAACTGATGACAAATTTTAGAAAAATCGAGAACCCACACCACAGTAAATATATATCTTAGAAAAAATAAAATATAAATAAAGTAAAAATAAAAAAAGTTAATAAAATAGATAAAATTTAATTTTATGCTTTATATTGTCTTAAAAATTAGTTCAATACCGCACAAATCTTGAAATTTTTCGTTTCACTATTAGTAATTCAAAAAAAAGTAACTTCTTTAGTGAAAGCAGAAATCGATACTCCAATTGGATGTTCACTACTTGATTCAGCAGAGCCAATAATAGCTAGAATTTTACACAAAGAAAAATTAGGCTCAGTAACAAGCAAATAAAGACGGACCAAACGCGGATGGCCCTCCGTTATCGTCCCAGTCTTGTCAAAAATAACTGTTGTTACCTTAAAAATTTTAAAACTGTAAAACTGTAAAATAAAATACAATCAAATTAAATTAAATTAGATGAAAGGAAATTTGTGTTCCCCACTGCTAAGTAGGTTTTCTCGCTGACCTGAACCAAATAAATTTCGCCACAGAGTCATCTGGCGATAGAAGTGGACATGAGACGTTATCAGGATTGCTGAAGGACTGCTTGCAGCAGGTACAGCACTAGTACCGATGCTCTGAACTAAGCAATAACCTATCATTTCAGTTCTCTTTCACCGCTAATAATTGGATGAAGCATGGGTAATAATTGGACGAATTTGAATTAGCGCCACTCTTGATTCTTGGCATTCATCTTGCCACTAACCCGCCGAGGTACCAAGGCATAATTAAATTAAATTAAATACAAAAGTTTTCCTCGAAGAAAATAGTTCATTAAGTTCTATCGATTAAAAAGTCAAAAAATTATTTAAAAAATTAAGATTCTACTAGCGCACTCCCGGTTAAAACTTCAGAAATCACCTTATGTGCCGTTTCAAGAGGCCCACCACCTTTAATTAAAATTCCATTGCTAGCGCCAATTCCAGTTCCAACCATGACAGCAGTTGGAGTAGCGAGACCCAGTGAACAAGGACATGCTATAGCTAGAACAGTAATTGCTGCCTCGAAAGATCTTTTAAATGCCGCTTCGAACACCTCAAAGTTGTTCTGAAAACATATATATATAATTATTATTAGTTAGCAATAACTGTTAATACTAACAATCACTAAAAGGCAAAAAATGGGTAAAAGAGAAAGTGTAATTTTTGTGAATTAGTTAATGCAATTGGCAATTGGTGGTTCCTATGGCGTTTTTTAAGGACGGGAATATATGTAAATATTGCGAAGATGCATAAATCATAAAAAAGAATAAGTGACAACAAACCGAATAATTATCGTTGATAAAATATATTCCAATCACAGTCCAAATGATCAGGGTTAGAACAGATATTGTGATAACAAATGGGACAAAATATGCAGCTAGTTGGTCTGCCATTTGCTGAATTGGTGCCTAAAGTTTTTAATCGAATTATCAGACAATTTAGCAAAAAACAGATGACTAGTTCAGAACAAATCCATCTTTTACATCTAAAAACTATGTAATTTTGAAATAATTTCTAACAATCAGCATAATCATCAGTTTTCACATAATTATTCTCACATTCTAAAAAAAGAAAATATGAAAGAAAAATCTAGTAAATTTTGTTATATTCAAAGATTTGTTGATTTGTTTGTTAACTGTAGTAATATCGAAGGAAAGAAGTAAGACCTTGGAAGTTTGTGCATCTTCTACTAAACGCACGATCTGAGCAAGGGTGGACTCTTGACCGATGTGTGTGGCTTTAATAATCAGCGTTCCCTTTTGGTTAACAGAACCACCAATCACTGTATTTCCTGAAACTGAGAATTAAAAAATTTGTCTGAAGTTGGAGAAAAAATATTTAAACGTATCATTCCAATCTCTTTTTTTTCTAACAGCTCTCATAATTAGTAGTTAGGTTAGTTCCGTTGGCTACAAAGTAAGATGCACGATCTGAACAAAGGTAGACTCTTGACCAATGTGTGTGGCTTAAATAAAAGCAAGCTGCTTGATTCCATACCATCTCTGATAATAATAGAAGCTTCCTTTATCCATCACATAAATCCTTATTGCTGATCCAACTATATATTCAAAATATTTCTTAAGTGTATCAAGCTAAGTATTGATGGCCCATCTCGCTTTTGACGCCACCCATCACAGGTTTTTTAATAACTAACGAAACAATTCCCCTATGACGAAGAACGTGCCTTTACCAGCGAAGGTTATGTTAATGCAAGTGGCATTTAAACGAATGCACAGAAATATAAATTTTATCCGCTCACCGAATCCATATAATATCACAAATATAAGTCAAATATAAGTCGGGTGGATGCTGGGGACCTGTAACTCTATCTCTCAAGTGATTCTATGGTGAAAGGGTCAGATATACTTCATACGGCGTCCGCGTCTCCCGACGCGCATGATACTTCGAACCCGGTGGTACATGCGATAAGTATACAATCCGGGCTTAAAGCGATCCCAAGGATGGCAAATAAAATTGTTCGAAAGCTATCAAGAGGAACAGCCCTCTGCACGCGCGACGAGGTATTAGCCGTATCAGCGTGGAACGTTAGAACGCTTATTGACGTTGCAAGCCAAGCGATCACTGTCCACACCCTGTCTAAATATCGTGTGGATATCGCTTGCTTGTCAGAGGTCCACCTTCCTCACTTTGGGTCTCGAGAAATTATTAATCCTGGTTCAGAGCAGAGATACTGGTTATATCACTGTGGTGCTTCAAAAAACTCGGGACGAAATGGCGTAGCGATTGTCATGTCTGACAAGGCCCATTCCGTTTTGATTGAGTGGAAACCGGTAAACGACTGTATGGCCTATGCCCGTTTTAAGGGTAAGTTCTGCAATATCTCGGTCATTAGTGTCTATATTCCAACGCTGTCGGCAGATGACCGTGATAAAGACAAGTTCTCTGCGGAATTTCAACTGCTAACGAAGTCTCTACCGAAACGTGACATGATCATAATCGGCGGAGACTGGAATGCTCGCGTAGGTCATAATGCAGCTGCGATGACCTCAACAATTGACAAATATGGCATCAGAGACCGGTGTGCCAATGGGGAATGTCTTCTCCGTTATGGCGAAGAGCATGAACTTTTTGTTATTAAAACATGGGCATCATAAAAAACATCTAGTCACGTGGAACCCCTCGAACAACCAACACTTCAACCAGATTGATTATATCTTAGCCGTTGGAAGAGTTCCCGTACTAGATAGTCGTTCCTATCGCGGAGCTGAAACGGGTAATCTTCATGGATCTGACCATGTTATGGTTCGAGCCAAGATTCCCCCAAAATTGACAACTCGCAGAAAATTGACAACAGCATCCCCAAGGTCCTTCAACTATCTCAAACTAAAAAATTCGGGGACAGTAAGCGCATTTCAAACCGAAATATTGAATTATTGAAGCACCTCAATGGCACAAATATCAATGACTCCTCTGGAACAGCAAATGAATAATGGTCCAAACTAAAGGAATGTCTCCGAAAATCAGCCACTTCCACACTAGGGCATACTAGTAGGAAGTGCGCTAGTTGGATATCGGAAACAACTATCCAATTGTCTGAAGCTGCCAAAAAGCTGCCAAAGCACGAATGCCAGGTGATCCTGACTACCGGGTGCTTCGAAGATTTGCAACGAAAGCAGCAAGGCGGGACAGAAATTTCTATTGGAGTGACATGGCCTCAAGAATGGAGGTGGCGGCTCGATTAGGCGACGATAGCAAACTATTTTGCCTTCTTCATAAAGCAACTATGACTCGAGGAACGATCACTGAAATGGTAAGAGACAGCAACAGATGGCGTACTAATTAAAAGTATTAAGGATCGCCTCATAAGATGGAAAGAATTCTTTGAGACCAAACTTAACCATGAAGCGCCATCTGTTGCCCCTGATATAGCTGATATGTTTGCCGAAGCTTACGTTTGCAATTGCGAGCCTCAAACAGAAGAAGAAATAATTTCAGTTATCCATAAGCTTAAGGCCAACAAACTCCAGGAGAAGATAGACGAGCTAAACTTTTCAAACGCTGTCCATTGTCCTTCATAAGGCACCTTCAACAAATGTACTCTTTAGTATAGAAAAAAGAAATATTACCAGATGATTGGAGCAAAGCAATTCTGCTCCCAATTCTCAAGAAAGATGATAGGACATACTGCGACAATTATCGAGGAATCCGCCTATTAGACGTCTCAAAATTTTTGCTCTACTCAACAGACTTATGGAAGTACGAGACAGCAGGATGCGTCCTAAAGCTGGCTTCAGACCAGGGCGTGGTTGTGCTGACCAGATATTAACGTTAAGAAGGGTGTTGGAACATCGTTTCAAATATTTGCAACCCACTGTCACGTGTTTCATCGACTTTGATTCAATTGATAGAGCGACGCTTTGGAGGATGATGGAACGTAATGGTGTTCCAGAGAAAATCATTAGACTCATAAAGGTATTTTATGAGCGCACATCGGCGCAGGTCTGTGTTGGGGAGCTGACAGATTCCTTCGAAATAAGAACAGGTGTCCGTCAGGGCTGCATCCTTTCCCCCACAACATTCAACTATGCGGTAGACTGGATAATGTACACTGCTTGTCGGCACTCAAGAGATATCCGAATTAGTCCAGAGCATCGTATCACAGATCTTGAATAATGATGATGCTGCTGATGATGTAGTCCTTTTTGCTGACAGTCATAACGAAATGCAAGTAATACTAAATAACCTGTCAGAAACTGCAGCAAGAATCGGACTCAGGATCAATAAAACGAAAGCCTTTTCGTCTTATCTGCAAGAAGCTGATAAAATGCCTCTTTTTGTAAATTCATTGCCGGTTGAGGAAGTGTCTGATTTCAAGTACCTTGAGTCCACTCTAATACCAAATGGGCAGGCAAAAGATGATATTATAACTTGGATCACGGCAGCTAGAAATGCTTTCTTCCAGTTGACGAAACCTTTATGGAATCGTCGTGAAATCACCATAAAAACGAAAGTCCGCATCTATATTGCCGTGATCCGTTCGATCTTACTATGTGGTTCTGAGATATGACCAATGAGAGTGGAGGATATTAAGAAGTTATCTGCCTTTGACAACTGTCTAAGGTATATTTTAAGAGTTCACCGAGCGGATAAAATCTCACAAGATCACATCCACCTTCGTTCAAATACCACTTGCATAAATAATGTTATCACAGAGCGCCGCCTTCGCTGGTTAGGGCACATTCTCCGTCGTCCACCACAGGAGTTGACGCATATTTCGTTATTTACTAAACCGTGTGATGGTTGGCGTCAAAAGCGAGGTGGGCCAATCAAGACCTGGACTGATACGGTGAGAAAAGATTTTGAACGTATAATGGATCAGCAATATATGGACTTAGATGATGGAAAAAGGAATGGCTTCCATTACTGTCGACGATGGCATCAAACCGCGCCGCTTGGAAGCGTCTTACCCTTGTAGCCGTTGAAGCCAGCCTAACCAGTAATGGTGAGAGTTGTTAAAAGAAGAAGATATAAGTCAAACACCTATATAAGATCGACAAGATCGAGCGAACTGTAACTATACAGGCGCAGATTTCCGTTTTAATGATTTGGCTATGGTTCCATAAAGACTTCACCTTTCCCATCATTATCCATCTTCGCTTGGCCGTTTGGGGTTAAAACGGATTCAAGATATTTAAAGCCTGGCATTTTCCCAATCGGTGATGAACTGATGAAAACAGAGATTTTATTAGCTTGTGGTATTATAAGAAGAAAAAACTTTCGTTTTATTTACATCTATCCTGAATCCATTGCTTGCTTCATTGCCGATATATTTTTTAACATTATTTGTATTGCATCACAACTCGTCAACAAAAAGACCACATCATCAGCATATTCAAGATTTGTGTAGTAGGCTCTGGATTAATTTATTTCTTGAATGCCTGCAGGCAATGTTCGTTATCCCATCCACAGCAAAGTTAAATACTGCAGGAGAAAGAACTTCGATGGACACCAGTTTCGAAGAGTCTATCAGTCCCCACATGCAAAGACCTATGCCGATGTACGCTGGCTCAGGGTTCCAACAAATTTCAAGAAATTTGGTAGAATATTGAAATAGTTGAATGAGCAACCAAAGTGTTGCGTAATCACGATTGAAATATCGAAAAACACATAAATAAATCAAAATAGAAAAGTTGATTTTGGAGATCTCAAGTCAAATTTATTAAGATAAAAATAACATGGACGTATACCTTCTCTCCTAATAACCGGCATAGATTCACCAGTTATAAATGATTCATCTACAGTGCTTTTACCATCAACTACAATACCGTCAATAGGAATTTTTGAGCCTGGAACAACCTTAACAAGATCGCCTCTTTGTACCTGAAAAGAAAGGAAATTTCCGAAATGCAGAGGAAATAATTAAATAATTAAATTTGGGCTACGAAATGAAATTTCGTAGCCATCGATAAGTTAAAAATTTAATATCATTCTAAATATCTATAATATCTAAAATATATGCATATATCCATAAAAAAATTTACAACAAAATAAACATAAAAATTTGTCGAGTGATTAGCCGATAATTAAAAATATCTGCATTTTCCTTCTTTAAAACAAACCAATTCAATGTCGATGCCCTTTTCAGAAAGAATCCTTCCTTGATTATCGCGTGTAACTAGTAAAGCTTCCTTAGCTTGTAGAGACATTAATTTACTTAAAGCTTCTGATGTTTTGCCTTTCGCTTTATGCTCCAGCCACCGGCCAAGTGAAACAAACACAATTAGCATTGGAGGAACATCGAAAAAAGTCATTGGGCTGCTATTCCATCTAAAAGATCATATTTCATCAATTCTTGAAATATAGTTTAACGATTTCTGTTGAAACATTGTTAAAAAAAAAAACTACACCTGGAATGTACTACTGATTCATCAATTCTCAAGGAAGCTTACAAATCTAGGATAGCGAAAGACACGCAAAATTAATCTGTCGCCTTTCATAGCAAGAAATTTTGTTACATAAATAATAATGGTTACTTCAAAACTATTGCGAATAATAATACGAAGACAGAATATAAATATGAAATTGTTGTTGCTAAAACAATTAAAACATCCATATTTGCCGCTCTGTGCCGAAGAGCTTTCCAGCTTTGCTCATAAAAATAACGACCACCAATAATCTAATAAAAAATCTAATATGACACATTATGAATAATTATACCAGAATTTTTATTTATAGCGATTTAAAAAATTAAGAATTTTGTTTCGATAAAAGTGATCAATGATAAAAATTAAAATAAAAACCAACTTGTATTGGAGTAGACAAAATCAATAATAATAAATTATCTAAACTGATTGCCGGAAAAAATATAGGTATTTGATGAGATGGATTCGAATGAGTGTGATGAAGCCAATGAAAATACACCATAATTATCATGACAGGTATGCCAAAAATAAGTGATATGCGGAACGATTTCATCCATCTATGGAAATTACTAAAATAATTTATTCATTCCTCAAAATTAACGAAGGAATCTAAAAAATACATACTTGGCAACTTCTTCAGAATGATCCAAGTACTTCACTCGATCATCGCGATTTACTAAAGTGGCAGAATAACCCAGATCCTTAAAATTTTAAAAAATTTTTGCAGTGGACTAACCATGATCAAAAATATGATTAAAAGATTACCTTAAAATAATGAATCAAAGGAATGATTTAGATTTAAAAAAATATAATATAGAAATAACTTCAATGATTTTAATGATATCTCTTGGCCCAATAAATGCTGGCGTATATTCAACAGAAGCCAATGACGTAGCCAGTGATATAGAACAAGATTCAATACCTTTTCTTGCAATTATATGAGATTCAACACGCGATGAGCAATTCGACGAAGACATTCCATTGATCTGAAGGTTTTTTTACAAGATTTTTTCCAAAATGATAGCAGCTTTACAAAGCTGATAAAAATGATTCATACTTTGAGTGTAATTTTACTGTGATTGCTGAAACCGTTATCGATAAGCTCTGAATGATAACCCAAAGCGCTGATTTTTTGTATAATTTCAGAAATTCCAATTAAATTACTATCATAAGTGATTTCTGCTTTCGATGCCATAAGAGCCACAGTAACAGAATTAATTCCTTAAAACTAAATTAATAATTGAAAACTTAAAATAAAAAATTTCACACCTCAGTTTAAAGATGTAAGAAAACCATTTAATTTGCCGATGTTTCGTTCAATATATGCAACACATGACGTACACGTCATGCCTTCCACTGATAAGGTACATTTGTCAATATTATCGTCCACTAAAGACCTGAATTTCGCACTCTTCTTTTGCACAACTTCTTTTTCCAAGTTTAAATTAATTTCCTCTAAATCATCAATTTTCTTTTTGCGTAAAACAGATTGAAGATTTGAGTATTTTTCTGAAGAATTCGTACAAGAAGAAAGTACTTTAGAGTTATCATAATCTGAAAAAAATTTTATCGTTATTTATCGATTTCTCCAATTTCGAATACAAAAAAGGAAAAGGTAGATCTGAACTGCTTTCAATGTAGAAAATATTCAAATTTTCGAATGATTTTTTTTAAAACATAAATATACAATAGTATAATAATAATATATAAAGCAATTGTTGTAAAAAAAACAAACCATTCACTGACAAAACTTTAACATCATAACCCATATTCTCAACTAATTCAACAACAGTTTCTTTCGACCATTTCGAAGAATCAAAAACAATTTTACCTAAAATAATTCTTCATGAACGAAACAGCAATTCGCACCAATGAAATATCCATACATAGAAATTTAAAAATAAAATTTGCAGTTGCAATAGCAAACAATGTAAACAAGTTATAAATAACAAAAGTACTTTTTACGAGGACTTTTACTACACTAATGAAGTTGAAATGTATATAAAAAATAGAAAACTAATAATGACCTTCAGAAAGATTCAAAGAAACGCTGATCGACTGAATACCATCATTACGGCCAACAGTTTCTTCAATATTATTGACACAAGAATGACATGTCATTCCATCAATTTGCAGAACAATTTCTTTGAGAATCGAATCAGCTTTATCAATGAGTAAACTAACATCTAATGATAGCCCTTTGTTAAAAAATAATTTAAAATAATCTGGTGAGAATAAAAAAAAGAAAAGAACTTTCTAAGATTTGATTAACTTTTAAAAAATCAGAACAAAAAAATTATTTTAATAATAGGACCGATTTAATATTCACGAATCTTAATACATCTTAACATGATCTAGCTCAACTGTCTCATAAACGGCTCACGTAGTCGCACTTATTAAAAATTACTAAAAAAAATAAAAGTCCAAAAGAAAAACACATATACCACTAATATATTTTAACTTGGCATCGAATTCCATACCACTGACCATATTCATTACATCGTCGACTTTCCACTTGCCTGAGTCAAATTCAATCACAGCTGTAACAAAATAGCTTATATAATTGAAAAAGACTTTTCTTATAATCATGAATCATCATATCTTTGAAAGCTTTTTTTAAAACACAAATAAAAATTTCACCAATTAATAGTGGTTCCAAATGTAACCAAAAAATTATAACAAAACAATATGAAAGGCAAAAGTTTTAAAAAACCCCCAACTATATTTTTCTAAAATGAAGGAAGTAAAGATGAAAATATTCTAAAATGAAGGAAGTAAAGATGAAAATCAAAAAAATTCAAAAAATCAACATGAAAATTAAAATTAAAATTAAAAGCTAAAATTGAGAAATTAGAAAAGTAAAAAGTAAATGAAATGATAAAAAATAAAGTTTCTGCAATCAAAATTTAATAGATTGTAAAAAACGAAATTGTGATTGATGTAAAAATTATTGAATAAAAGATGAATATTGAGAAAACTGAGATAAAAACCGCAAATTTGTGACAAACTAACTGAATGATTTATAAGTAATGAGTAACTGAATAAGTAACATTTTCTAAACCATCTAAATTCCGATGGGTCTACTGAGGCAAAATAGAAATTATATGAGTTGGACTCGTAAGAAGAATAGTGTGCATTAACTGTAAAATTGTACCACATTAATATTAATACCCACATTAATATTTTCTTTGTTATAACAAATTTTAGCTTAAATTCCAATATTAGAAGATTTAATAAATTGAAGCTGGTAAAGACTACTCGTAAAACTTAAATTTAAAAATGCATAATTTCTTTATTCCCACAGTTAATTAATGGAATAAATTATCGCACAGTACAATAATCTTTGCATCTTCCGCTCCTTTTGAAAAAGACTCACTTCAACATATACAACATTATTATTTATGATTGTTTCCACTTTTATATTATTGCATCTTTATTTTTCAACATCGACGAGAGACTTAAACTAAGAAAGATTTATAAACTGAAATAAGTTTGAAGAACTCGCAACACAGTGAATTACAACGATTTTGAAACTCTATTTTGGCTTTGATTGCCTCTTTTAGATTTTTGTTGTTTTTTTCCTTTTTTTTAAACCAGCACATGGCCCTGCTTTCAATATTGAAATAAATAAATATGGCGTAAAAAAGAAAGAGCAGAGACCAAGTGAAGGATTTATGAAATGCGAAAATAAAAAAGAACCTTCACACTTTTCCAGCGATACATTAACATTGTATATACCATCTTTTACTCCAACATTGTCTTGAATATTATTAACGCAAGCAAGACATTTCATGCCCCCAACCTCAACAACAACTGTTTTGCGATCACTTTCTGATGGTTTTGACGAACCTGGCTCAAGAACTGACCAGTCAAGAAGAGCGCCAATGTCGTTATCCAACATACCTGAAAAAAACCCTTATTCACATAATGATTTACACAAAAATCCTGCAGCGAACATAAAAACTAAAAAATCGAAATCGGATATTTCTAAAAAAACATTCATAAAAGCCGAAATTAATATTTTCGGCCGGCTATTCTAATTTTTCAACAAAAAACCACTCCTTCATGAAAATAAGAATTCAAATCGGCGAAGATCTTGGAGACTATTTTTGCGACTGTTATTATTAAGTACCATTAGCGTTACCATTATTAAATGTTACCAAAAGCCGTAAACAAAAAACTTAAGCAAAAAAGGAAAGAAGAAAAAAACGGCAAAGCAACACTAGGAGGATAAACTTTGGACCAATTAAATACAAGTTACCGAAAGAAAAATTTCGTGTTAAGAGTTAATTAAACGAATTACTCCTAAAAATTGAAAATTGGAAGGTTGAAATGGAAGATTTAATGCTGCTAGTAACGAGAAGTGTCACTTTTAACAGCTAAATATTGTTTAAAGTATTCCAACTGATTGGACTGTGCGATTAATTCTTGTCTTTATATAAGTTTTATTAAAAGAGGAATGAATGAAGGAGAGGGGAGGGGGGAGGGGGGGGGGGGGGGGGGGGGGGGTTGAAAATGTTTGAGGAAATGAACATGGACAGGAAATAGAGAAGAAGGCGAAAATGAGTGATGAGAAAATAGGGAATTGCACAGAATATAGGGGAAAATGAGGGTTGAAAGAAAAAAAGTGAAGGATGAAAAATGTGCTCAGAATAGTCAAAAAATTGTCTAAAATATTCGTTCTACTTTTGATGAATTTTTTTATCGTTTAATTAAATTTTCTTCGACCTAATTATTGAAGAATATTTAAACCTAATTATTTAAGAATATTTAAAAGGCTTTTTCCATACTTTTTTTCTTTATTTTCCACTTATTATAATAATTTTTATTTATTTTTGTATATTTATTTTAGTTGCTTTCTCGTTTGAAAAATTTGGCTTATCTTTTTTATTTTATTTTTGACTTTTGCTTTTTAAATTTGCTAGCAAAAAGTGATATTTTACGAAATTTGTCGTTAAATAAAGAAATTTATTTTATTATTTTTTAGATTATTGTTTCAGTAAAAAATGAGCACTGAAAAAGTGAAAATTGAAATAAAAGACGAAACATTAAGTGATGAGGACGAGCAAGACGATGATGAAACAATGGAAATCGATGAATCGCTGTATAACACCGAAGGTGATTTTATTATGTTTTACTTTATTAGTTTTGACAGAAGAAAACCTTTCAAAGGTTGTCAGAAGCGATTCTCTATTATGAAAGTTCTAAAATATAACGGTTTATGTCGTCTACGAGAATATTTCAACTTGTTTGAAAGGCACTCGGACGATTAGTCCGCTTTTCTTTTCTGATATATCCACATTTACACATTTAGCAAAATACTGTGTAGTTGCAGATAATTATTATATAAATAGTTAGAGATTACTGTGTAAATGCAGAAAAGATAATAAGGTAAGGTATATTTTTCGAAGCACAAGAGAATAAGCTTTGTTGAGCAATAATTAATAATGAAACTAAATTATGCACAATAGAAAGGTTGGAAGAATAAAAGGACCAAACAACTTGTAAATTTATAAAAATTTTGATAAATGTAAAATAATCATAGTCACCAATATTTTAAAAATTTGACAAAATTTAATTCGTAATCTCCATCTTGTTTATAATTTTTTTATTAATATTATTTTGACTATTAATTTTTTTTTTTGTTTGCTCCAGAAACACAAAGGTTACATAATAAAAGTTGCCTGGTAAAAAAATAAGCAAAGTGAAATTTACAGAAACAAATCAAGAAATACAATTTGAAAAGGACTCATACAAACGTTTTGAGATGCTTCTAAAGAAAACTGAAAATTTTTCACATTGTTTAAGTGCTGGTGATGTGGAAGTCACCACAGGTGATTTTTTGATTTTTTTAAAGTTATTATTATTTTATTTTATTCGTTTTCATCGATGTTCATCGAAAATCTAAGTCACAGTTCTGTGAGCACCAAATTTTAGAATAAATTGTGAATAAAATTTGCCACTTTTGTTCTAATAAAGATGGCTTCCAAGAATAAAGAATAAGTCAAGTCAAGTTGATTATTTACCGGTGATAGCAAGAATTCGAAGTCAGTTATGTTTTGTTGGGTATTAACTTTATTGTATCACTTGAATCTTTTTTAATAATTAATTTTATATTTATTACAGCGTCAAATAAAGTTGGATCACGTATCTGTTATATAGCACAGCCTGCGCGACCACCTCCTCCTTATATTGATATTGAAGGTGATCATCGTCACAGAAAAACTGAAAAAGAAGAAGATGAAGAATTAATGAATCTTGTTAAGAAAAGCGAAACACTTATTAGGTTTTTTATTAGAATTTTTAGTAATAACAAGAGCAGACTTTGTTGAATTGAGTATTTAATTTTTAAAAATTAACGAAAGGAAAGAGAACTATTGCTTGATTTTTTTTTTAAAGCATGGCTATACTTTATTTTTTTTCATTTTTCATTCCTATTTAAATGAAAACAATTCGGATGATATTTCCAAGATTACGATATCGTTTAAAAGATAATTTAATTTACAAGAAATCCATGAGAAAATATTGAGAAAAGAAACCAGAATGAGTTCCCCAAGCAATCAATCTGATTCCATATAAATGTTCAGTTCTTCATAGATAATAAATTTTTAAATAAATTTATAAATAAATTTATAATATAAAATTTATAATAGATAATAAATAAATTTTGTGTACTGTTGTTCTCAAAATCAACCATTTGCGATTCTTTATAGTTCAGGCGTTTGAAAATGGGGCCTGCTTAATAATCGTAACCTGTTATCAAGGTTATTACTGAAATAAGAATCGAGAAGATTGTAGAATAATAGAACTATTTTGAATTTTTTTCGAAATTTTTGTCGAAATACTTATCTAAATTAAATGAAACAGATTGTCAGATTAGGATAAGTTGTCTTAAGAAAATAATATAATATGCCTTTTAGATTTGAAAAAACACCATTTTATATCGAAAATGGTGAAATGCGAGATTATCAGATTCGTGGTTTAAATTGGTTGGTTTCTTTGCAACACAATGGAATTAATGGGATTTTGGCTGATGAGATGGTAGGTTATTTTTCGATTACGCTGTTCTTCCATAATTTTTTGTTCGTGAATTTGATTTTATTATTTATACAGCCATTTTAAATCAAAAAAGTGAAAAAAAAATTTCAGGGCCTTGGCAAAACACTTCAAACAGTTGCTATGCTTGGTTTTATGAAACATTATAAGAATTCCTCTGGGCCACATCTGGTGATTGCACCTAAATCAACTCTTCAAAATTGGCTTAATGAATTTGAACATTGGTGTCCTTCTTTGAATGCTATTGCACTTATTGGGCATGCTGATGCTAGGGTTAGAAAAGATAAATAATACTTTCTTCCACAAAAAAATGGAATAGAAATCTTTAATATATACAAATTTTTCTTTCCAAGATATATATGAGAAATAAAAAAGGATTTTTTATGTGGAATTTTTTTCTTACCAATATGAAGTTTTTTTTACTAAATTTTAAAACATGCATAATTTTTCTTTAAGAAGATTTTTTATCAGAAATCAGTAAAGATTGTTTGCTTGACTTGCTTGTAGGCTGAGCTTATTCGAAATGTTATTTTGCCTGGAAAGTGGGAGGTGCTGGTGACATCGTATGAAATGGTGTTAAAAGAAAAAAGTTTATTACGAAAGTTCGTTTGGAAATACTTAGTTATTGACGAAGCACATCGCATAAAAAATGAGCATTCGAAGGTTTTTTTTTTAAATTTTGCTTTTTTCTTCAGTTGTTTTGATTACATTTTAATAAATCTGTTTCATTTTCATTATTATATTATATTATCATTTAAAGTTCATTCATTGAAATTTTTTCCTTTAAATTTTTTTGTTTTTTTCTTTATTTTTTTCTTTCTCTTCCTTTTAGTTATCTGAAATCGTAAGGGAGTTCAAGTCAAAGCATCGTTTATTGATTACTGGAACACCATTACAAAATAATTTGCATGAATTATGGTCTTTGTTAAATTTTCTTCTTCCTGATATGTTTGCATCTGCTTCGGATTTCGATTCTTGGTTCACAACAAATGAAATGATGGGAAATCAGGATTTAGTTGCTCGCTTACATCAAGTTTGTTTTAATTTTTTCAGTTTGTATAATGTTAACCAGTGATCAGTTTCTTAGAAATTGCTTTTTCCGTTTGTTTTCGATTATTCTCCATATTTCGAAAGTAAACATTTCTTCAGGTTTTTTCAGGTTTTGAGACCTTTTCTGTTACGGCGTTTGAAATCAGACGTGGAGAAGACCCTTTTGCCCAAGAAAGAAGTCAAAATATACATTGGCTTATCAAAAATGCAGAGAGAATGGTAAGGCCATTTTTCAGGCATTTGCGTCCGGTTTTCGCTAATTTTAATTTTAATTTTTCATCCGACTTGATTGTTTACTGATTGATTTTTATGAATTTTATTTGGATTAATTACGATACTCCCAGATTTTTCAAGATTTTATATTTGCAACACTTAAAATATTTTGCTTCCAGGTATACAAAGATTCTTATGAAAGATATCGATGTAGTGAATGGCGCGGGTAAATTGGAAAAGGTTAGAACTTAGTTTTATTAAAATCATAGGAAAAAAGCGCTTATTTTATTGGAGATGTACTTTAACAGAGTTTAACGGATTATTTTAGTTATTTATTCAAAACACTGGTAAAAAATCTCGTCCTATTGGCTGGCACAATTGAAATCTAACTTACCTTTTGATACATTCTCTGAATTCATATATTCTCTTTATACCCTTCTGAATTGCGCTACACTGTTCTATATCTTATATTCCACTGTTTTATTATTTTTTGAATCTTCAAATCTGCAAAATTTTTAACATCATACAATTTTCACCAAATTATCATGCATTTCGCAATTTTATGATATATATAGCTTTGATCGCAGCAAGAATCCGAATTTTGGTAGAAATCTTAGGTTAAAGGAACAAAATGGTGTTGGGTGGTACTAAGGAGTTGCAACTGAGTGCAAACAGATCAAGGCGATGAAGAGAGATTTAATTTGATGTGCAAGCGAATTACCGCAAAACTAGAGGTATTGACGGGAAAACTAAAGGCTTTGGTGGTGATAAGATGTTATTCGAAGGAGTTTGTCAAGATTTTTCACAAAATACATGACAAATTTTGAGGCAATTTTTTCAAACATAATACATATATTTTTTCAAACATAATATACATTAATATAAAATGATGATAGATAACATTAAATTATTGATTCAGAAAACTCACTCACTGTTCAGGCTCGTATAATGAACATTTTAATGCATTTACGGAAATGCTGCAATCATCCTTATTTATTTGATGGTGCTGAGCCAGGTCCACCTTATACAACTGATCAACATCTCGTTGATAATAGTGGTAAGATGGTGCTGCTTGACAAATTACTAAAAAAACTTAAGGACCAAGGTACATTAATATATATTAATAATAGATTTGTTATTTTCATGTATTCAACTGCTTTTCAATCAAAATTTTTTTTTGGAATTAATTTTTTATCATAATTCTTTATTTTTTCTTTTTTTAGGTTCTCGTGTTTTGATTTTTTCTCAAATGTCACGAATGCTGGATTTATTCGAAGATTATTGTTGGTGGCGAAATTACCAGTATTGTCGCTTAGATGGTCAAACAGTACATGCAGATCGTCAAAAATATATCGACGAATTCAATCGCCCAGATTCTGATAAATTTATTTTTATGTTAACTACTCGCGCTGGAGGCCTTGGTATTAATTTGACTGCTGCAGATGTTGTGATTATATATGATAGCGATTGGAATCCGCAAGTTGATTTACAAGCCATGGTACTAATTCATTTTATCATCAACTTGATTTTTACTTTTATATCAACTGAGAGACTCACAGATTGCCTCTTAAGTTTTGTGAGTTTTCGATTGCTTTTTGTGGTTTTCAAAAATGTGGAAATTATCCAGATAATTTTTGACATTGGTAAAAATTTGGCCTTATAAAAAATTCAAGGCTTTATAAGTTAAAAATTTTTCAGTTTATGGTTATTTTAACTTTTTTAGTCATAAAACATAAAAATAAATGTTGGTTTGAATTTAAAATTTTATGCAATCATTTAAAAAGTATTTTTTAAAGTTAGTACTTAGTATTTTTTCCATATTTAAGGATCGAGCGCATCGAATCGGTCAGAAAAAACAAGTACGAGTATTTCGCTTCATTACTGAAAGTACAGTGGATGAACGAATAATTGAAAGGGCGGAAATGAAATTGCACTTAGATTCTATTGTAATTCAGCAGGTAATAAAAATAAATATAAAAAAAATAAAAAAATGCATTAAATTATTCTAACAAAATTATTCATAATTATATTTTCCTTACATAATTTTATAACATAATTTTCCTCGGAAACCTTTTTTTTATTTCTATATATGGTACCAAAAATTTTTCTTTTTCAATTTTTTAAGGGTCGTTTATCAGACACACAAAAGGCTCTTGGTAAGGAAGATATGCTAGATATGATACGGCATGGTGCAGACCAGGTATTTGCTTCGAAAGACAGCACGATTACAGACGAAGATATTGATACCATCTTGGAAAAAGCTGAGCAGAAGACTGAAGTAATATTTTTTCGTAAAAATTATATTTTTTAATTCATCTTTCCTGGCAATTTTTGGAGATTTTTTTCATAATTTTCGCTTCTAATTTGAGTTTCTATGTTTTTTTAGGCTCTGAAACAGAAAATTAGTTCATTAGGCGAATCATCACTTCGAAACTTTGCATTAGATGCACCTGGATTAGATGCTGATGGGAATTATACTGTTTATAAATTCGAAGGAGAAGATTATCGTGAAAAGCAGAAGCTTGTTGGTGGCATCGGCTATTGGATTGAGCCACCAAAGCGTGAACGCAAAGCGAATTATCAAGTTGATGCTTATTTCAGGTTTTATCAAAATTTTCATATTTTATGAAAGTAATCATCAAAAAATTATCTTGACCTCATATAATGGTGTTAATTGATATTCAATATTTTAATAATATCTTTAATACGTTTTTTGATGATATAATTTATTTAATTTCGGCATAATTTATTCATTCTTATTTTCAGAGAGGCTATGAGAGGCGGCCATACTGAACCAAAAGCTCCGAAAGCGCCACGCCCGCCCAGACAACCTAATGTGCAAGATTTTCAATTTTATCCAAAGCGATTATTTCAATTACTCGAAAAGGAGGTTTATTTGCATAGGAAAACAATCGGATATAAGGTGCTTATATAAATATCAAATTTTGTTCGAAAAGACAAACCTTTAATCTTTAATCTTTATTTGTGCTTTTTCCCATTTTCATTTTTAAATATAAAAATTTCAGGCTCAAAAGCAGCCCGACCTGCCACCGAAGGAAGCAGAAAAAAAACAAAAGGAAGAACAAAAGAAAATCGATAATGCTGTTCCATTAACTGAAGCTGAACAAATTGAAAAAGCAGAATTGTTGGCTCAGGTTGTATAAGATTTTTATCAATTTTTACCACTTATATTCACTTATTGTAATTATAATTATTATTGTAATATCAATTTTTTTTTCTTCAGTGATTCATATACCATATTTTCCATTGTTCAAATTCCTATTCCTATTTTCCAAAGTTGACGCTGGATCTAAATGAACATTGCTGTCTTAGGGTTTTTGAACAGACACTTATCCAGTTGACCTTTACAGACCTTAAAGTTATGCAAAATTCGGAAATTGTACATAAATTGTACATAAGTACATAAATATGCAACTCTCTGTTCTGTTTTTATTGCCTATCAAGAGATATATATTTCCCGAGGAGAGCTCTAAAAAAATTTTCTTTGGAAAGGAATAAAAAAGTTCGGAACCATGGTTTAAATGCTCCTTATTATTTTTTAAGTTTACCATTGCTATTTATCATATAAAGTCATATTATTTTTTTCAGTCATTACTGTTTGATTCATTACTGTTGAATTATTTGTTTAAATTAAGGGTCTTAGCAATTGGTCACGTCGAGATTTCCAACAATTTATCAAAGCAAATGAAAAATATGGTAGAAAAGATCTTGAAAGTATCGCTAAAGAAATTGATACGAAAACTTTCGAAGAAGTATTTTTTTCATTATGAGAACAATAAAGTTCTTAATTTATTCAATTGAAAACTAAAGAAAAAATTGAAAAAAAAACCTTTTAAAAAGCTGATGACATTCAAAGTTTTCAATTTGCATTAAATCAAAAGGTCTATTTCTTCAAATAATACTTTAATATATTTTAAAATTTTCAAGGTGGAGGAATATTCGAAAATTTTTTGGGATCGTTTAGAAGAATTGGCTGATCATGAACGAATATTAGCCACTATTGAAAAGGTATTTCATTCTTTTATCCATCAATTTTTCTGGTACTTGAGAATATTCTAGAAATTTTAATTTCATTTTTAAGGGTGAAAATCGAATACAAAAACGACACAGTGTTAAAAAAGCTCTTGATGAAAAAATTGCCAAATACAAAGCGCCTTTCCACCAACTAAGAATCCAGTATGGAACGAATAAAGGCAAAAATTATACCGAAGAAGAAGATCGGTTCGTTCTTATTTAAAGAATAAAATATTCTGCCACTATACATAAAATGTAAAGTTTTATTATTCTGGAACAATTTTCAGTTTCTTAATTTGTACAATACATAGCCTGGGATTTGATAAAGATACTGTTTATGAAGAATTACGGCAAGCAATCCGTGCTGCACCACAGTTTCGGTTCGACTGGTTCCTCAAATCAAGAACTATTATTGTATATTTTTTATTATTGTATATTTGCTGTTAGATTTTAGATTGCTTGGGTCAATTTTTCTGAATAATTGTCTTTAAATTATTACTTAAATATGCTTCCTTTTAAAAGGAGTTACAACGCCGCTGTAACACGTTGATAGCATTAATTGAAAAAGAAATGGGTGAGGCGGAATCTGTAAAACGAAACCGCGGTCAAAAATCTAATGCCAATACTGCAAATGGTGTTGCTGGAATTGATGGCAAGACATCAGTGTCAAAAGTATTTTAGTATTTTATTTTTTTTTCCTTATTTATTTTCCTTTTCTCCAAATACTTAAAAATTCTCGAATTGAATTTTTTCGTCCTAGTTTTCACGAAACCTCTTTTTTTCTTTTTTTTTTTATTATTTGCTTGCCATGCGATCCTTTATTGGTAAGGCAAATTATGTCTGGGAAGAATGGAAAAATGCAAAAATTATATGAAACAATCATCCTTAGTGATGTGATGGGGATAGGATGGCTCAGTGGATTGTTGCTCAGTTTGGAGAGCCAATACTGAGGCTCTATTCCCCGCACGAGGAAACCTATCCAAAAATCCGAGTGATACTGTACTACTATCGCCAAGGGATGCCCTGTCATATTTGTCCAGTGCGACAAACCAGCGGAGAGAGTAAACAGTAATGATGAATATTCTTTAAAAAAAAAGTGATATGATTTAAATTTTCTTTTTCTTTCTTCTTCTAATACCATTGCTGATTAGGCTGGCTGCTCTGGCTAAAAGCGTGTTTCCAAGCTGTGAGATCTGATGCCAATGCCATCGCTGATAGTAATAGACGCTATCCATTTTTCCATCGTCTATCTCCATATTTCGTTGCCCTGCCTTCAAAATCTTTCCTGACTGTTTCTTAATTGGCCCATCTCGTTTTTGGTATCATAGACAGACTTATCGCAGACTTTGGCAAATAACGAATTATGCGTCATTTTCTGTGGTGGGCGACGAAGAACATGTTCTAATCAGCGAAGCTGGAGCTATATGATGGTACTATTAATGCAAGTAGTATTTGAGCGAAGGTGAATGCAATCATGTGAGATTTTATTCACTCTGCGAACCGGTAAAATGTATCTTAGATGTGTTGTCAAAGGCGGATAACTTTTTAATATCTTCCACTCTCGATGGCCGGGTCTCGTAGATCTGCACTGCACAGACGCGAGCTTTCGTTAGTAATTTCGCGACAAGGCCATAAAGGTCTCACCATCTGGAACAAAGAATTTCTAGCTGCTATTATCCAAATGCTAAAATGCTAATTTCGTCTTTCGCTTAGCCATTTAGGCTTAGAATAATATGAAGATATATTTAAAATATATGATTTAAACCATATTTAAGTTCCCAATCGTTTTTGGTCATCCGCTTTTTCTAGTTTCTTTTATTTACTGCCTTTTTCTATCCTAACTTCGGGTTACTGGCATCACATCAGGCTCAGTTTTTTAATTAATTAATGGTTACTTTCATTCGATTATTTCTGTTTATTTTGTAATAAATAGGAAAATTTTTTACTTTTATATAATTTTTTATAATAAAAACTGGCATTAGGAGCAAGGAAAATCCCACTTTCCTTTTGATCTTCCCATTGCCCACGATTTGGAGTGAAATCAAACTTCCCAGAATTAGTATTTATTTATAGGATTCGATTCTTTTTCCTTTTCGGTAAATATTTCTCATAATCATCCCAATAATTGGAATTGTTACTGATATTTTCTATAATCTTACCTTCAATTATTTGACTCTTATCGAGAGTTATTCATTATCCCTTTAGCTTACTGAGGTATCAATAGACTTCATAATCGGATCGACCCCTTAATCGTTATTTGTATGTAATTAACTATCAGTGACCTAATACGCTTCGTTTTAGACAACACAGTCATCGTTAAAATTTTCATAGATTTAATTTTGTGTTTAATTTTATTACCCAACTACCTTTTAAATTTTTTTTTCAAAATGATTTTTAAATCTACTAATTATAGTCAGCACAAAAAAGAAGGAATGAAGCGACAATGAAAGCATTAAAAAAACAAAAATAAGAAAAATTTAATCGCAACTGATAATTTGTTAATTTGTCTATATACAACCCGTTAACGTAGAAATTTTTCGCTTTATAAATTCAGCACGGTTCAACGGTTAAAGAGATCATAAATTATCCTTATCATGGATTTTTAAGATCCTTATCTCGTTACTAATTAAAATTTTAGATGTATTTTATATAAGGATTGATCATATATGTTTACGATTATTGAGATATTGCGATCCCCGGTTTTTAAAAAGCCTTGATTACGGCTCACTTTATCAGTTTTTTAGTTGTCAACATAATATTAAATTTAATGATCTCCACATCTCATCTGAACTATTTTTTCTTTTTTAGTTTTTTTTCGTATGGAAGTTCAATAAAAGTATTCTTTGCAGCGAAATAACACTCGTTATAACTAGGAATGCCTTAGTATAAAACTAAAACATATGACAGAAATTATCAGTTAATAGCAATTATTCAGTAAATTCGCAAATATTCTTCATCATCATCTTCTTCTCACCATTACTGGTTAAGCTGGCTCCTGCGGCTACAAGGGTAAGGTGCTTTCAAGCGGCGCAGTCTTATGCTATCGACAACAGTAATAGAAGATATTTCTTTTTCCATGGTTTAAGTCCGTATATCGCTGGTATTCTTATAGTTATCTTTCCCGGCTATATCAGTCCAGGTCTTGATTGACCCTTTTTTCTTTTGACACCAACCATCACAGGATTTAGCAAGTAACGAAATAAGAGTCAGCTCTTGTGGTGGACGACGGAGAATATGCCCTAACCAGCTAAGGCGACTCTCTCTATGATAATATTATTAATGCAAGTGCAGGTGGTAAAAATGGATATGCGACTGGGTTACAATTTTTTCGTCCTTTGCCTGGCCATTTCAGATTAAAATGAATCCGAAATTTAAAAAAAAAAAAACATTATTTGCATTTCGTCATAACTGTCAACAAAAAGGACTATATCATCAATGTATTCAAAATCTGTGATACGATGCTCTGGACTGATTTGTACACTTCTTGAATGTCGACAAGCGGTGCACATTAACCAGTCTACCGCATAATCAAATATTGTAAGGAAAAGGATACAACCTTGACGGACACCAGTCTTTATTTCGAAGAAGGTTGTCAGTTCCCCATATTCGTAGATCTGTGCTAGAATATGGTGATAAAATACCTTTATCAATCGAATGATCTTTTCTAGGACACCGTCACATTCCATCACTTTCAGAACGCTGCTCTATCAAGCGAATCGAATGCAGCTACAAAATCGATAAAGCAAGTGACGGTGGGTTGAGTTTATTACTTTCAATAACAGGATAACTATTTTTGTTTCTCTGTTTCTCATTTGGGTCATTGACTACTAAGATAAAAGTCCTCTGATAATTCGTTTGATAAGAATTTATAACTATAAAAATACACAAGAAATAAAATCCAAGAAATACACACGTAACGTTGGTCATCCTGTTCCTTTCAACTGAATGTACAGAGTTCGGAAGTAAATAATTGGGCAGTAATAATGTTAAGGAGTTACAAAGGAGTTAAAGCAGGAGAAAGAGATTATTTATGGGGATGTTTGGTTAAAAGGCTTTCCACAAAATAACTTTTGTGGAATCAAAAAGTTAAAACTAAAGGGCCAAGAATCCTCAGTTTGAACTCATGTTCACGCTATTTCAGGCAAATTTCACTGATATCCTATAATCTTTTCATTTAAGATACTGAGCTGCTTAAAATAAGATCGAAATTTAGAAAGAACTCGATGTTAACAATATACTTTCAGATAAACTGAATAAAACTTTAAAAATTCACCACATATTATCGATATAAATTGGTGATACTTATATCTTATTTTTGGACTAAACATGAAGCAAAGAAGAGAATTTGGAAGTAATGTAATAAAGTACAAAAAGCATTGCTATCTATTCGCATTTTCTCGAATCATAATATCAAAAGAATTTCTTCAGCACTGCCCAATAAAAGAGATCATCTTGAAACATACCATTAACGCCTTTCCATATAGCCATATGATTTCTGTAGATGCTGTCGCTTACTGTTCAATGATTTTTCAATAGTCAGTGCTGATGCTGCCTTATTCAACATTGGTCTGAAATTTCAATATTCAATGGTGCATTTATGGCTTTAATCGAATTCTGAATAGGAAAAGGCAATTAAAATTAAACTGGAATCAATTATTTTTCATAAATGCATAAAAGCACTAAAAAATTTTAATCTCACACAAGATTTGGCTTAATTTAATCAAAAATCAAGAAAAGAAAGTAAGAAAATAATTAGAGTACACCAATCCATGTAATTATCATTGTAATTATCATTATCATTAATATTACCATTATTATATTATCATTAATTAATATATAAATGAACTTAGTAGTATAAATAGTATAAATGAACTTTTGAACTTTACAAGTGAGTTCTGTGAATAGGCTTTAACAACTTTAAACCATTAGATCTAACTGCGATAACATGTAGGTTGAGATTACAGCACTAGGTACAATTCAGTTTAACATTAAAAATGCAAAATTTTATGCTAATATTAAATCACAATTCTTCATTATCTTTACAAGACCAAACTAAATTTTTGTTACCAAGGGACTCCCTGGCATTTTTATCTAGTGCGACAAACCAGCGGAGAAAATCGAATCATTAATGGAGGTTTTTAAAAAAAAAAAATGTCTAAATTGCTACCCACTCAACCAATCAGATTTTGGTAACAAAGCGTAAAGTGTGGAAATATATGAAAAAAGCTCAAAAACTTGGTAAAAACTGATATTTATAAATTAAATTTAACAAAAAATTTAACCTAATAAAATCAACTGCTTTATTTTGATTATTTCGTTCTTCGTACTCATCTTGAATCGCTGCAGCTTTTACATTGTTTTTTCTCGCTGAATTTCGCCAATCGGCATTTTTTAACATTTCTTGGCGTTTCTTCTCCATTTCATCGTCCGATATTTTTGTTAAATGCTTATTTTTCTGCAAAATCTTAGAAATTATTTTTTAAAAAAGTAAAATAAAAACACAAAAAATTTTTCAAAAATAAAAACACAAAAAATTTATGTAATTGTAGTAACACCAACTTGTTCAAGATTTGAATCATGATGTCGATATTTCTTGTAATCCTTTGCTTTTTTTTCATGTTCAGCCTATAGGAAATAATGTTAAACAAATCGTTAATGCAAAAGATGTTTAAAATAAAAAATAAACCGCCTAAATCTGTACCACCCGGAACACTATATTCACGGTATTTATGGCGGATTGGGCATGAATTCTTAAAAAATATATAAAAAATGTATCAAAAAACATAAAATGAATATTAAATGATATGGCTCACAAAATATTTTTCATTGATGATCATGAAAAAAAAATTTCAGAATTAATATTAAGCTCTTTGCGTTCACCTTTCCGATTGTTTTGTTTTTTTTTTTGAAACAAGTAAAGAAGGATAAAGGACAGAAAAATTATAAAAGCAAAAGAAAGGGAAAGGGAAAGCAAAACTAGTATTTCTGCAAAATGTTGAACTTTTATAATTTTGTTGCGAATTTTTATTTATAGTTCTACAAAGCATAAAAATTTTTCTAGCTGCAGGATTTTCTTCTTTAAAAAACTTGGTTATAAATCTGCTAAAATGTAAAAGAAATAAAATATAACTGCAAATCGACTTGCTCGATATCTTTTTGATCCATGTTTCTTAGGACAAGATTTCTTGTGCCTTTTTGTTTCATCATCTTTTTTTTCCATCGCTTTCCTCAGAAATTTCTTCATTTTTAGTAAAACTAATGGATTTTCCAATCTTTCTTGCTTCAATTTTTCCTGCTTCATCTAAAAAAATCTAAAAAAATGGAAATCCAATAAATGATAACTTTAAGTTACTAGTAAAAATTCTATAAATATATAATAATTTCAATTAAAATAATCATTTTACAGCATAAAAAATAAAAATAATTCGTAAAAATAAACGACAAACTTTAATAGCAACAAGGGGATCTTCGGAGCGAACAACACTGATTTCGAGATTCGAGATTTTTGATGCTGAAGGACTGAGTGTGAATAATCGATTTTGTACAACAGAATCTATGCCAGTTTCCTTTTCCTCATTGACAACATCAGAATATTTTTCGAAATTTTTATCAATCTGAAGAAATCAGTTACTTAATTTACATTTTTTATCTTTTGAAGGGTTTTTTCAAAAAAATCCAAATATTAAAGAGTGCATTTGCATAAAATAAGCAAATTACCCTTGATGAAACGAGCTATTTGTTTCGATTAAATAATAATAAATAAATTTTGCGAAATAAATTAAGCAACAGTAATTCTTACTGGCTAGCAAGCAGTAAGACTACATCAGAGGACTTAGAAAAACTTAAGAATAGAAGCAACCAATCCCAGCCACTGCTCATCTAGAACGAACTAGAACGAACCATTGATTTACACCGCTGACAAAGTTTTTATAATGTTCCATTCATAATGTTTCCGCTATTTCTAGTCAAAACTTTTAATTTTCGAAAGATATGGAAAAGAAACCCGTTTTCCAAGCAAATAATCTTCCCTGTTGATAAGCGATTTCGAACCTTCATACATCCATTTCAAATCGCTTCTTTCCATTTTCAAACCTTAAACATGAAAAATCGAATAGCAACTCGAAAAAAAAATTAATTAAACGCCGATAAAATTAAAATTTGATCGGAATGTTTTGAAAAATTAAATTAAAAATAAAAGATGTTGTTGATTTGATTACTATTTGCTATTAAAATATATAAGTGCATATTATAAAGTAATGTTGTAATATATAATAATATTATAACATATAAATATTTTTTTTAAAGAGCTCTCTCCATTACTGGTCAGATTCTCTTCACTGGCTTGTCGCATAGATAAATGCGCCAGAGAGTCGCTTGGCGATAGAGGCACAGATTCAGCATGACCTGGATATTGGACAGGTTTTCTCCTTCTGGAAGTAGAATCTCAGAATCGACGTTCAGAATTTAGCAGTTTAACAACTCAGTGAGTCATTCTGCGCCGCAAAACGTGTAACGTGTAATAAAATGATTGGAAAACTACCATAAAAACTTTTAAAAGAATAAACAATAAAATAAAAAGGTAATTAGCGAAAAGGAGGAGGAATAAAAGAGTGGTTCTCGCCCAAATTATCGCCGTGAGTGTCACTGGCTGAGACCCAACCTCAGGCAAAGGGGACCTGTCGCCAAAACTAGGGGACCGGTCCTAGTTTCACCCCCAAACGGCTCATCGTTAAATCTCACTCTTGTCGAAGTGTCCGCAGCCGCGTTTTAGATTCGCAATAACGCTCGGTTTTTATTCGAATTCTGTAGTGGTTATGTCTGCGCTTATTTATATATTTGATAGATAAATTTAATTTGATAAAAATTTCGACTAAGAAATTGGCATTAGTCGTAAATTTTTCCCTAAACTGAATCGATAGTGCTGAAAAGATTTCTCACTTCACCACTTCTGACGTCACACTTCTGACGTCACACTTCAGATTCACCTCGGCGTGTCTTTCGTTTCCGTAGTAATCTTTTGAAGTTGCAGAAACGATGAGGCCGTCGAGCGTTATTCTCGATAAATTCTATGATTTAGCCGATTATAACGCAGACAAACGACACTCTGCTATGGTTTATATCTTATCGAAGGTATTTTCTCTTTTTTATTCAGGAGAATTGATAATTTTGAGTGCCTCTCTCTGTCTCAATGAATGTCATCGACGAATGTCATCGAGTAGGTTTTTGCAGTTGGAAGACGAAGAAATCGTGGATTATTGCGTGAATCGCTTGATTGAAGGGCTGTCGTCTCCTCGAGCGGCTGCGAGGATGGGTTATACGAATGCCTTAACTCAGATTTTCTTTGACTTTTCTGCTAATTGGCCAGTGAAAAGGATTTTCGCCATTGCCGACGAAAAACTTAGTCTCAAAAGCGCGGTTGGATTTCACGCTGTTTTAATTGCTTTTTTTCTTTTTAGGCTTAAAAGTATAAATTTTAAACATTCAAAGTCAAAATTTTTTACTTCATAACAGGCGAATATTTTTCATCACTTTGGGGAGAAAGCAAAATTCGGAAAAATTTCCAATTTTCTGATGCAAATTTGTTATGGAAGTTGGGAAATCAAAGTTTTAAATTCATCATTTTCCACCATAAATTTTTTATAAAAATTATGAAAATTTTGTGGGTGATTTTAATTTATATAGCTTCTAACTGTTAAGGTAAGTTGGAAAGGTGCACATAAAACGAATCAGTTAATAATTCTAGAATTTAGAAGCGGACATCGCTGGTTAGACTGGCTGCACTGTTTGTCGGTCAAGACAAGTGGGGAATTGATTTGGCGATCGAAGTGCGAGTTAATTACCTCGTAATTCTTGTTATAATGAAAATCCTTTAATTTTGGCAATAATTTTAGGATAATTCCAGTTGTGCTATTGGGCAGCATTTGTTATATACGGCAATGATTATCAGCGATAAATATCAACAGGTTCCCTTTTATAAATCTTTATTGGATTACCTGCTTTAATTATTGTGATTATTACCGCCAAACATGCATAATGTTAAGAATAATGTTAAGAATGCATAATGTTAACCGTTGTTTATTTATTTTAGGACTTGGATCAAATAACCGAGCGAGAACTGATTTTAATTGATAAATACAGTTCATTGAGGATAGCAGTTTGTAATATTTTAGCGAAAGTGGCAAACGAGCTAGATGAAGAATTATTTCTTGACAAAATTTGGCCAGCCGTAAAAACAAGGATCAGTACCTCACTGGAGATATTGAAACCTGAATGGCTATTATTCATTGTAGTTGCGGGCAAAAAATTTCCGGTTCGGGACGTCGAAGAATTTTGTTGTTTATATATTATATATAATAAGAATTTGTTTAGTGTTTTTTCTTTCAGAGCGATTATTTATTTGATTGCAGAAGTCTTTCACTGCAAAGATTAATTTCTTATCCTTAAAAGGAAGATTATCGTTGGAAAATGAACAGCACGTGAATCAACTAAATGACATTTTAAAGGTTCCATAAAATGTTGCCCATTCTTAAAGAGAACATTGCTTTAAATAATCTATATTGATAATTTGCATTGATTTTAATGCATTTACGTTCGTTTTCGAAATTGGGACATTTTTTTTATTTTAACAGCATTTGAGTTTTAATTCTTTTCTAGATGTCTGATAAATGTTCTGAATTTTTCTTTCTATCAATTGTTTTGAAAGCATGTCGCAAAGCCAAATTTTTCGAAAAAATTTACGAAAAGATTGTAGAAGAAAGATTCGATTGTAATGATTCCTTTAAAGTTAGTTTTATCATTACTGTTATTCTATTATTAATTTCTTGTAAAAGAAAGTGTCTTTGTAAGTGTTATTACCCTGAACGGTTGTTTATTTTTTTGAAAAAAATTCGTAAACGTTCATTTTATTAATTTTTTTCACTTTAATTGATCGTTTTCATTGGTAGCTTTTTTATTTTTAGGCAATTATATGGATTGTACGATTCGTAGAATACTTATTAACAAAGAATAATTTTGGTCCTGCTGAAGTAATTTTTTTTCGTCTTTAATTTCTTTTTATTATAAATTTCTATTTAATGTCCTGTGAAATAATAACTTATATATTTATAATTGAAAATATCAAATTCATCAAAATTTTATTCTTTTAGTTATTACTTATTTTTTCCGTAAAGCTTATAAATATTCTCAAATTAATAAAGATCAATTGTGGTTATCGAATTTTACGTGACAGTGCTGAATTTACCATTGGCTGTTTAGAAGAGGTAATCGTTTATATGATCCAAAATCGAAATAGATTATTTGGCTTTTTTTATTAAAATTAGGAATTAGCAAAAATTTCAGTCTATTAATTCATTTGGTTTTTGGAAATCCAAAGATTTATATAATTTGTTGCAAAACTTTGATGCTGTCGAAGGTTTCGATAAATATTTCGGCGGAAATTCCAAAATCACAGAAAAAATTATCATCAATTTGGACGAATCACATCAAAAACAGTGGATAAAGCAGGTTTTTATACAATATTCATTATCGATTTTTCTTTTTATAATGATATTTAAATATTTTAAATTTTACATTTTGCTTTATATCAATATCCGATAAAAATCATTGAAGAGAATATGGCCAATTAAAGTTGTAGTGATTTATGCATTTTTTTTGAAAATAATCTGTAATTTTTATTCAATTTTAATTTTCAATTCAATTTCAATTTTTTTTCCCTGGTTTTTTTTTTATTTTTAAATGTTGACGATTCTAGTCATCTTTTAAACAACCATGGCTTCTTAGACGATTTGTCAATATTTTTCCATTTCTGTCATCAGAATTGCAAATGCAGTTGTTGAAAGCATTTATCCTGCAGCAAAATTGTTCAGAGGTCGATTCTTTATATAAAATTGTCTTATTTCCACTGGATTATTGGATTATTTACTAGTGATTTCTTGAGAGGCACGGATGTAATATTTTATGAACCTTGAAAATATGCATTGTCTTAATTGATTAAATTAAAATAGTAATAAGGCAGTGATAAAAATAAATTCGCGATAATAATAAATCACTTAGAACCTAAAAAAATATTTAATTTAAGTCATATTAGTATTTATCTTTCACTACTTTTTTATTATGTTTTTCATTTTTTTATTTTCTTTATCAGAGAAACTCCTTCTGAAGCGTTTTAAATCCACTTACTTAATTTTAAGCTCTAGCGAATTTTTAAAATATTTTTTAAGTCTTTAATCACATTAAGTATTAATATTAATTGTGACTAGGAGTGAAAGAATTCTAAGAAAAAATGGCACAAATTGTATAAGGCGATTTTTAGCAAAGTTTTTTTTAAAATAATTAAATACTCGATCATCTGTATCAATCTTTGACGAAATTTTTGCTTTTGGCTTGGTGCATATAACTCGCATTTATATTTTTTGAGGTACACAATACTTTTTGCAATTGTGTTCAGTCGTTGTTGGTCGTGAAAGTAAAAGCCGGAAGAAATGTTAAAGTTTTATACGATTTAGAAAAATGTGTAATGCTAAGGAATGAAATTGCCAAAGTTCATGGTGCCGAAATTCCTTCAGTTAAAAGAGGGTATATTTTTATTTCGTACACGATAAATTCGTTGAAAATGTGAAATGTGTTTTTACTCAGCATAATGGTTATTTGGAAGCAGTCTTTCGTTATTTTTTTACTATAGAGATAAAACGTATTTTTTAATTAGACTTTTTCAATAGGCCTGTGGCAATTTTATCGTTAGTTTTGCACATGTGGAGTTTAACGGCGGCTTCAGAAAAAGAACAGTTGATATACAAGAATCAAGCCGCCGAAGCAAATACAATCTTGCGAAATTTGATTAAAGATCCTAATGAAGCGTTATCGGTATGTCACCTATTATTATTCTTATTTAAATTGTTTCAGGCTAATCAAAAGTGATAAAAAATAGAAAAAATTTTTGGATGGATAGCGAATTTATGAATTTCTTTAGCACTTTTTATCAAGAATCTTCTTTTTTTAACAACTCTCACCATCACTGGTTAGGCTGGCTCCAGAAGCTACAAGGGTAAGACGCTTCTAAGCGACGCGATTCTGATGCCATCATCAATGGTAATAGAAGTCATTTCTTTTTCTATCGTTTAAGTCCATATATTGCTGATCCATCTATATGTTCAAAATCTTTCCTACCATGTCAGTCCAGGTATTAATTGGCCCACCTCGCTTTTGACACCAACCATCACACGGTTTAGCAAGTAACGAAATATACGACAGCTCCTGTGGTAGACCGCGAAGAATGTGCAAACAGCGAAGGCGACAGTCTGTGATAATATTATTAATGGAGGTAGTATATGAACGAAAGTGGATGCGATCATGTGATATTTTATCCTCTCGACGGACCCGTAACTCAGACAAAAGTGGTCAAAGGTAGATAGTTTCTTAATATCCCCTCCACTCTCATTGGCCATATCTCAGAGCCATTTAACAAAATCGAACGGATCACGGCTATATAGATGCGAACTTTCGTTTTGATGGTAATTTCACGACGGCTCCATAAAGGTTTCGTCAACCGGAAGAACGCATTTTTAACTGCCGTGATCCAGGCTATAATATCGTCTTTTGCCTGGTCATTTGGTATTAGAGTGATCCAAGGTATTTAAAATCGAACATTTTCTTAACCGACAATGAATTTACAAAAAGAGGCATTTATCAACTTCTTGCACATAAGACAAAAAGATTTTCTTTTATTTACAATGCCGGTTCTGAGTCTGATTTTCGTTGCAATTGCTGACACATTATTTAGCATTATTTGCATTTCATCATAATTGTCAGCAGAAGGACTACATCTTCAGCGTATGCAAGATCTGTTTACAATGCTCTGGACTGATTTGGACACCTCTTGGGTGATGAAAAGCGGTGTCCATTATCCAGTCTATCGTATAGTTGAATATTGTAGGGGAAAGGACACAATCTTAACGACATAAGTTCTTGTTTCGAAGGAATCTCCTATAGATCTGAGCTGAAGTACGCTCATCAAATGCCTTTATAACTCAAATAATTTTCTCTGGAACACCGTCGCGTTCTATCATTCTCCAAAGCGCAGCTCTATCAATTGAATCAAAAATAGTCGCAAAGTCAGATGTCGATGAAACGCATGAAAATGGGTTGTAAATATCTGAAGCGATCTTCCAACATATTCTTTCTTAACGTGAAAATCTGGTCAGAACAACCGCCCTGATTTGAATCCAGCTTGATTAGGACCCATCCTGCTGTGTCGTATTTCCATAAGTCTGTGGAATAAAAGAGGAGCAAAAATTTTCTCTAAGAAGTCTGGTAGGTTGATTCCTCGATAATTGTCGTAGTATGTCCTATTATTTTTCTTGAGAATTGGGAGCATAATTGCTTTGCTCCAATCATCTGGTAATATTGCTTTATTTCTTTTTTCCATACTAGAGAGTAAATTTATTGAAGGTGCGTTATGAAGGATAATGGACAATATTTGAAGAGTGGCCTGTCCGAAGACCATCTTTTCCCGGGGTCTTATTGGTCTTAAGCTTATGGATAACATGGATATTATTTCTTTTTCTGTCGAAGGCTCGCAATTGCACGCATATGGTTCAGCGAACGTATCATTTATATCAGGGACAACAGATGGCGCTTCATGGTTAAGTTTGGCCTCAAAGAATTCTTTCCATCTTATGAGGTGGTCCTTAATACTCTTGATTTGCACGCTTTTGTTGTCCCTTACCATTTCATTGATGGTTCCCCAAGTTATGCTTGCTTATGAAGAAGGCGGAATAGTTTTCTCTTATCATTTAATTGAGTCGCCGTCTCCATTCTCAAGGTCATGCCACTCCAATAGTAATTTCTGTCCCCCCTTGCTGATTTCGTTGCTGATCTTCAAAGCACCGGGTAGTCAGGATCACTTGACGTGCTTTTGTAATTTTTTTTAATAATAATGAGACAGTTGGACAGTTGCTTCCGATACCTAATTATTTTCTACTAGTATACCCTTGATTGGAAATGGCTGACTTTCAGAGACATTCCTTGAGTTTGGACCATTATTCATTTGCTGTTCCAGAGAAGTCATTGATATTTGTGCCATTGAGGTGCTTCAATAATTCAATAATTCGGTTTGAAGTGCTATCCCCGAATTTTTTAGTTTGAGATAGTTTGAGATAGAAGGATCTTGGGGATGCTGTTTTCTGCGAGTTGTCAATTTTGGGGGAATCTTGGCTCGAACCATATCATAGTCAGATGCATGAAGATTGCCCTTTTCAGCGCCGCGAAGCGACTTTCTACTTCCAGTGGCGACTGATTAAGATATAATCAATCTGGTTAGAATATTGGTTATCCGGGGAGTTCCACGTGATTAGATGTTTTCTACGATGCCGGAAGCAAATATTAGTAACAAAAAGATCATGCTGTTCGGCATTCCCCCATTGGCACACCGGTCTCCTATGTCATATTTGCCAATTGACGAAGACGAAATCAGGACGAGGTAGCGGCATTATGACCTATGCGCACCAGTCTCCACCGATTATGACCATGTTATGTTTCGGTAGAGACTTTGTTAGCAGTTGAAGTTCTGCATAGAACTTATCTTTATCACGGTCATCTGCCGGCAAGATTGGAGCATAGACACTGATGTCCGAGGTATTGCAGAACCAGAATTTATCTTTAAAACTGGCATAGGCCATACAGTCGCTTACTGGTTTCCACTAAATCAAAGCGGAATGGGCCTTTTCAGACATGGCAATCTTTATGCCATTTCCCCCAGAGTTATCCGAAGCACCACATTGATATAGCCAATATCTCTCTTCCGAGCCAGGATTAGTAATTACTCGAGACCCGATTTGAGGAAGACGGATCTCCACCAAGTAGGTGACGCGATATCCACACGATATTTAGAAAGAGTGTGGGTAATAATCGCTTGACTTCCATAAGCGTTCAGACGTTTCACGCTAATACGGCTAATACCTCGTCTCGCGTACAGAGAACTGTTCCCCTTGATAGGTTTCGAGCAATTACCCTGGCTTGTGAGTACATTTTATTTACTTATTTTATCAGCCTTGGGAATGCTTTAGGCCTGGATTGTATATTTATCACATGTACCACCGAGCTGAGCGAGTTGGGAAACGCGGACGCCGTATCAAAAATAACTGATCCATTCACCACAGAGTCACTTGAGGATAGAGTTATAGGTAGGTCCCTAGCAAGCACCTGGATTTTTGATATGACAGGTTTACTTCTGTCAAAGACAGACATAATTATTTTATGATATTATTTATAAAATTTAAATTTTATATATATTTTATTTCAATTTCTTATTTTTTAAGTTTTTGAAGAAGAACTTAACTTGAGAAAAACTTTAGAAATTTCGAGAAAAAAACAGTATTTCGCAATAATAACAATTAGAAATAATCGATTGACATGGAGCAGAACAAATAGATGACACGACCGCTCAATATCATTCGACCATTCTAGTGATTTTATCGAGAATGCTTTATATTTATTTTAAATTTTTTATTTTTATTAAATTTTTTTAAAATTTAGGTACTCATTGATTTATTATTGTCGATACTTTATCAGAAACGTCGTTTTCATCGTGCATTAGTGAATTTTATCTTTGCTTCAATTGCACCAAATTTTAGATCTGAACATATAAATCAATTAATCGAAGTATGTTCCATTGCATTCCTGTTTTTCAATTTTTATTTGACCAAACGATTAGAGATATTCTTTTTTTAGGAGATTGTTTGACTAATGACATTTTTTTCAGATTATAAATAGCAATGGTAAGGAAGTGGTGGAACCAGCTGAATACGACTCGGAAAGTGGTAGAATTTGTTTTTATTATAATTTATCATTTATACTTTTATACTTTTCTTTGGCAGTTTTCCATTTTTCTATTGTTTGTTTTGAAAATAGCGAATTTTAGGTGACGAAATGAGTTACGATCACAATGAAAGTATAGCGCGCGATATTGATAATAATGAAACTATGGAAAGTGGTTCAAGAAATTCAAATATTGTATTTGAAGTTGGTGATAAGGTAGTTTGGTCAATCATTGTTAAAAATTTTTGGTCAATTATTATGCAAATTGGTCATTAAAAATTTCTCGGGGGGCTTGGAAATTTCGTTTATATTTAAATAAAATATTAAACAAATAAATTTCTTGATTTTACCTGATGAAATTGGTTTTAAGGATAATGTATCATCCGATTTAAGTGATGAGACAATGTTTCGAATGGACAAAAAATTGAGTACTGCTTTTCGTCAGTCTTTTAAACTCGTTGGTAACATGAATTTTATATTCGAAAATAGTCTACAGTTTCGCTTAAAATGCATGGATTTATTATTAATATTAATATCTCATAAGGAATGTGGTTTTTTGGCCGTGGTAATTTCAATTTTTTTAATGCTGTTTTAATTTATTCAACTGCGTAAACAGTATATTTAATCGCTGAAAGAAATAAATATGAGATAAAGAAAACATAAGTTTTATTTCAAATTTATTAGCGTTTTTAATGACTTTTTAGGATCTTTTGATTCCATTAGTGAAAACGGCTAGAGAATCACTTCGGAAAAAAGGAAATGAAATTATTCTTAAAAAATCAATGAATCTTCTTGGTTTAATCATGAAATTCAAAAAGGTTTCTATTTGTGATAAAGTGATTTAAATTCGTTTTACTTTAACTATCATTATCATTTTCAATGTCATTCATATTTTCAAATTTTAGCATATTCTATACGAAGGAAAAGCTCTGGATTTGATTGACAAACTTGTTGAAGCCACTTCTCAGCTTGTAAATCCAATTATTAGGAATTTTGTCGCTAACTTAATGAGTTTTTTGGTTAGTCATCAAAAAATATTCTCAATTTGGATCAAGAAAATTATCTTTTTGCTTAATTTAGTATAATTCTACTAGGTCATTTATTTCGTTTGTTTCATTTTATATAGTTTTCGTCATGCTATGATTTCTCAACAAACAGTTTGTCGGAGAAAATGCGATCTAAAGTCAACGATCTTTTTTCAAAATACATGAAGCAGACAAATAACGAAATTCTAAATGAAATAGCTACTGCTCCATTTGTTAAATATCCGGTTATTATCTTCTTTTCACAAATCAAATCTTCTTTTTTATTTTACAATAGTATTTTCTTTTTTCACTGCAATATTTTTATTTAAGCGAGCTTTACTGTCGTCATTAAAAATGATAATCGAATTTGCATTCAACGAAAATATCCGTATTCACAGAAGAGTATGTGGTTTTTCCATATTTTCCTTTGTTTTTTATTTTTATTTTCCTTTTTTTGATTATTTAGCATAAATTTTGATTAGTGAAGAATATTATTAGGAACTGTACAATTCTTGAGAATTACATGGATTCTTTCATATTTTAATGTTCAACAAATACTTCCGAAGTGGTCTGAAGAATTAATTCAATTTCATATTTTTAGACTGAAGCAATTTCTTGTGCCATCGCCTTCATGAGGAAGGATCTGGTGAGTTATTATTATTTTTCCATTTCTATATTTATTATTATGAAAAATTCTTATGTCCTGAATGTTCAGGATTAATATATTGTTTAAGATTTATATTTTAAGGTGTTTTTGATTTTAAATCATTGATAACAAATAATAAGTAATAAATTATATGGTAGTAATAAAATATAATATAATAATATAGTGATAAAAGTAGCTTTGTTAATTAATTGGTTAATTAATTATTAATTAATTAAATCTATTAATTTAAATCATTTCAGCTCAAAGAAGCTGAAGAACAAGTTGAAAATTATTGTTCTAGTCTTGCTAAACGTCTTGGTCATATTGTTCAAGAATATCTCTCAAAATTTGACATGAATGATGGAAAACCAAGATTTTTCGCTTATGTAATTCGCCTTATTACTGCTTTTGCCAGCATGAGTGATCTTCAATCTCGAGTAGTTTTCAAATATTTTTTCTCTTATGTTTTTTATAGTTTTTAAAAATATTATACTAAATATATTATGAAATATACTAATGACAACAAATTTTTTTATATTCATGTTTTCAGGAAAAACTCGCGCATTATTTAGTGAATGATCTAAATAGATTATGTGAAAGCAAAGCTCTTGTGCAATCGAGAGAAAAAATAAAGCGGTTTAATTCAGCATCTCATGCAGTTTGTGGGCGCACGATTATGGCTGCTGTGAAAAATGCATTAAAACTAATGGGTCAAGACTAAAACATTTGGTAATTTCATATTTCTAAAAAATGTTTTGTTCTACGATATTTTTATGAATTTTTTTGGTGTCCTTACTACTATACTTTCTACTAACCATGAGATTTCATTCAATTTTTGTGATGGAGTTTCAAAGAGCTGGTAGTCAAGAGAGCTGAGAAAATTTGCGTCTTTATTTCCTTATTTGAAATTAAACATTTGACATTTGATAATATTATCCACTAGTAGAATTTACATTTCTTTTTATTCCATTTAAAAATTTCTTTCAGGGATTGGATCCACAGACTTCATCACGCTACCAAAGGGATCCATGATGTAATTAAGATTGTTATCGATTTCACAGTGTTTGTAAAAAATATACGATTTATAGATTTTGTTATTATATTGAGGAATTTGGATTTGAAAAACAAATTTTCATTAAAAATGTTGTAAAATATTTTTATCCAGTCCTTAGTTATAGAAATTTGTATGGAAATTTCTATTTCACTTAATATTGCCTCATGATTTGTTATATAATTTAAAAGAAGATAAGTTTTAAGTTAAAAGATTTGCCAAATTATTGCTTAGAGAAATTGTACTCAATTTGTCCAAGGATTCCCCAACATGGTTCTCCCGGTCCCCATCCCACCAGATAATTGGGATTCCTTCGGTGCCATCACTTTAGTTTGAATATAAGACAAAAGTTCCTCGTTGATTCCAGGGGCAGTCCGAGATATCCGAAAAGTCGGTTTCTTAATTTCCTCTTTGAACTTATGAACTTTTATTCTTAACAGGGATACCATACGATATTTGTGGAGTTGAAACGCTACCTCAGAGACGCTTAGTTGGTTAGCAAATTTCGTTGACATGTGAAGTATTAGGAAAATTTTTTATAGTTCAAACAGAAATTTAGTTGCTCTTCCATTACGCTTCATTTTCATATCAATTTTTCGAAATCTTGAAGTATTTTTCTGGATCAGTTGAAATTTATTCATGGTTTTTCCTATAATTTCTTTTAAAAAATTATGAATGTCACTTGTGGTAAACCGATTGCTTATCGAAAAACAAGTAATTTATTCAATAAACTTGCGTATAAGAAGACTTCATTAAGCGAGGTTCGTTTTTGGGTTTTTCGTTGTAGGTTCTTTTGCGCTTTTCGGTTGTGAGGCCCGTAACTTCGCTTCTATCTCTGATTTTTTAGGATTTTTGGTGAGAGTTTATTTTACGCATCGTAAACCATCCATCTCAACATTTCCCCACAGTCGGGCATCGTCCTGTAGTCAGCCTAATTGTGCAGTTAGGTGGTTAGTGCTCACTTTTGCCGATTAGACTGCACCTGCTGTTGATATGGAGCGAGGAATTTTTTTCCAGGAACTCACTGAGCGATAGGTGCACCACATGATTTGTGACCGACCTACTAGCATTAGATAAGCTGTTTTTTCGAAATTTTTCAAATTTCCAAACTCATTTTCAAATTTTCGGCATTTTTTCACAGAAATTGGCAATAAAATGATTAGAAAAAATTTTGGAATATCTCTTAATGGTTGTTTCTAATTTTATTTTATTCTTTATTATTTTTTTTCTGCTTTGGCTATTGAAGGTGATTTCCGCATAGGCTTATTTAGATGATTAGTATAGCTAATGCAAAAGCGGAGAATCGAACAGAATACACAAAATCAAATAAAGGTGTGACTTCTCGATCTAATTTTTTCTCGAACTTTAATGTTTATTTTTTGTGTTTTTTTGTTTCGAAAGAAAATTAAGTAAAGAATCAAATTTATGAATATATGGTCATTTCATTAATTAAAGCATTAATGAATTAATGAAAGCTTTATACTGTTCTACGTTATTATTATCTCTTATCATTAGTTATTTTCGAAATGTCAAAAATATTTTTAAAATAGAGATAATAACGTAGAATAGCACTGTTGTTGTAATTCAGTTATTTTCACTTTCTAAAATATTTTTATCAATATTTTTTTATTTTTAAATAATTTAAAATCTCTTTGTTCAGTTAAGAGCCACTAGCTCTTTAGTAGAAAATGAATTTTTATATTTTAGGTGAAAAGTCGATTCAACCAAATGTCGCTTTATTAAAATTGCCAAATAAACAAAATGTTGTCTGTGCTAGTAGTGATAGTGATAAGGACGATGATTCTTATATTGGCGAGGATTATAGTAAATCTTCATATGAATCAGGCGATTCGGGTCGCAACAAAAAAGCTTCAGCAGATTCATATGGAAGGTTGTTCTCTGTGCCTATTCCTCGCCTATTTTCTCTTTTATCGTTATATAATGGCAATATTTTTCTCACTGCAAAAATTTTGAAATTTTAGTTTATCTAGTGAATCGGATCGATCACAGTGGCTGTGCAAACCTCGTATTAAAAAAAAAGGCACTTATCAAAGCAACACTTTTAATCCAAATATTCCAGTGAATAACAGGAAACGAAGACGTGCAATAATATCATCATCATCATCAACATCATCAGTTGAAAAAGATCCACTTGAAAAGGATAAATATGTTGGTCGTAAAATTTAAACTAATAAACTAATGATAAAATTTTTTTAAGGTTTAGTCTGATATTTGCAAGGTTCTTAGAACAGCAAAAAGGCAGTTGAAATTTCAGGAAAGATGTATATTAAAAACATTTAAAAATGAGAGGCGAAAAGCATGTCTTGGAGAATCTGGAAATGAAAGTATTGAAACGTATTCTTCAGAAGAAAGTCAGTTTGGACAATTGGATAATGGAGAAGATGATAAATCTATCGTAAAATTTTCGATCCTTTAACTTTAAATTAAATATGAACTAAAATGACGAATTAGTGTTGTCAGTGTTAATTAGCAAAAAATTTTACGGAAGCTATAAAAATTATATATCTCTCAAAAACTTTTTTTATAATACGGTTTTCCAGAAAGACAAGCGAATTTTGCATTCGAATGATTTGTTATTTCGTTGCGTATCATTTTTCAATGAAGCTAAATATAAAGATTTATTGCTGGCTCCACGTATGACCGATAAAATCGCAAGTTTTATCATTGAAGAACGGCCATTTGATGACTTCAAACATTTGGTATGTTGAAAAAAAACATAAAAATTCCACGGAAAAAGTATTTATTTTCTTACAAATCGCCTTTTTTATTCTTTTATAAATTATGAAAAGGCTATCATCAAATCCTTCTGTGAAGAAATCAATAAGTGGATCACTATTTAAATAAATTTTCACCAGTTCACATCATCTGTTTGCCAGAGGGTCAGAAAGAAAAATAGTGGTGCATCCCATTATCCCAGTTTCACTCTTTTAATATCAGATTTACTGATTTACAACGGATAGGAATCTGACCTATTTAATGGAAGCAGTTTATCTCTTTGCATAGTTTTTAGTAAACTGGAAATAAGTGCCTGCTAAATGAATTGAAAAGAATGATAATGAATTGAAAAGAAAATTCTTCATTTTCTTTATCGTTGTGGAAAAAAATCCTCTAATTCTCTAAGTTATCGTAATGAAGTTTATAACGAAAAAATTTAATTAAATGGATATTAATTTTCAGCAAAGAAAATTGTACGAGTGCCCTCGAGGTGGATTAATACTACAGGCTTATGTAGATGGCCTTGAAAATCGCAGTGTCATTGAAAATATTCTCGAAGATTGCAAACTACAGTCGAAGAAGATACAGTCAATGCTTAGCAATATGGTTAACGAAGAGAATTCTATTAAACCTGATTTAAGTCCTGGGTATATTTAATTTTTATTGATGTAAAATAGCATCTGTTAATTAACCAATTTGATAGCAATAATTTTAGATGCACTATTCATCCACATCAAGAAATTGGACTTAAATGGTTGGTATTAATGCATAAGCTGAATTTAAATGCTATTCTCGCTGATGAAATGGTTATTTTTTTGTTTCATTGTATAAGCGATTTCAAAAATTCATCAAGCTATTCATAAAGAGTTATCATTGCATAAATATTTCAGGGATTGGGCAAAACTATTCAGATAATAGCATTTCTATCATATTTGAAGAAAGAATCGATCAAAGGTCCGCACCTTATTATTGTGCCGTCATCGACTGTTGAAAATTGGATGTATGAATTAAAGTCCTGGGCACCTTCAATAAAAATTCTTACATATTATGGCACCTTAGATGAAAGGCGACATTTGAGAGCGATGGCAACTGATAATACTGTAACTTTTGATATATTTAAAATATATAAAATTACACGCAAATAACTTTCAATTTTCAATGATTCATCTATGCAAAATTTCTATGAAAATTTAATGTTATATGATAAATTAAAAAAAGCATTATTAGAGCAGATAATTAGTCGATTTTCCTTCAAAAAATGATTTCAGATCGATGTTTTGCTCACAACTTATAGTATGGTTGGATCTAAAGTAGAAGATCGGAAATTTTTTAAAAGATTTAAAATCAATTATGTTATCTACGATGAAGGACATTTATTGAAGAATTGTTCTACTGAGCGTTATAAAAATCTTATGAAAATTCATGTAATAATTTGTTTTCATTATTCCATTTTCATTCATTATTTTCATTTTCTACTTTTTTATCGTTTTCTTATTATGAAATTTTTTTTCAGGGAGAGAGGAAGATATTGCTTACTGGAACGCCTTTACAAAATAATTTGGTGGAATTAATATCATTGATTTACTTCACTATGACTAAATTGTTCAGGAAATACTGCAATGATGTCAACCAGCTTTTGAACCAGTTTCAACAGGTATATCCACTATTTTCAAGGAAGCAAACAAATGACGAATCTTTTCAGCACAATTGTGCTAAAACATATCTGTAGGCTGTTTTGATTGATTTTTGAAGATTCCGACATTTCTTTATCAATCGTTGATGATAATATGCGCTATCATTTATTGAATGTAAAGTCTAAGTCTATATTTAAATTGCAATAATTCCACCAAATATTTATTCTAGGAATCGGGTTTTCTTTAGTTTTAATTGAAATTTAAATGTTACCTCCTTTTTTAAAAATCATGAATTTACAGAAAGCGCCTATGATGGAAGCAAAAAATTCCATGTTATATGAGTCTGAAAAAATTGAACAGGCAAAAGCTATACTACAACCATATATTTTGCGGAGATTAAAATCAGATGTGAGAATTTTTTTGCCTGGTGGAATATAATATTAATCTGTAATGCCTTAAAAATTATTGTATCCTTAATTTAGGTACTGGAAAATTTACCAATAAAACATGATCGAATAATTTTTTGTTCAATGATTGATGAGCAAAAAAGAATATACAGGGATTTAATGTGGGAATTCAAAGAGCTAAGTGCGAAAGGAAAAAAAGTAGTGACAAGCAAACTTATGCAACTTCGACAAATCTCTAATCATCCTCTTTTGTATCGGAGTCGATATACTGATGATCGAGTTGTAAAAATCGCCAAAGTCCTGTGCAAAAAAGTACTTATTTATTGCTGCCACCAAATAAATAGATATCTTATTTTGCGAGATTTTCTTAGTTTTCCTTTTAATTACTAGCAAAAAATTTTCTTCGACCTTTTTGAGGAAGAAACTTATTATAAAAAGAATCCTGAACACGTTGCTGAAGATCTTTCTTTTTTATCTGATTTTGCAATTAGTCAGCTTTGCTCAAAATATAAGTCCACACGAAAATTTTGCCTCAATGAAGATGTTGCTTTAATATCAGGAAAATTTGAAGTATTTGATGAGTTGCTGCCGAAGATCAAATCTCAGGTTATTTGTTTCATATCTATTTACCAATTTTAGGAAAAAAATTGAAATTTTAATGGAAATAAATTTTAGACGATTTTTGCAATTTTTGAAAATAAAATGTCCAAACAAAATTTTTCGATGAAATGTCGAGAAAAGATAAAAATTTAAATGCATAGATGCATGTTTTTTATCCATTTCCTTATGTTTTAGAGTGATAAGGTTCTAATATTCAGTCAGTTTACGGCAATGATGGACATAATTGAAGTATATTTAAAAATACGCAAATATAAATGCTGTCGCCTAGATGGGGCGACTCCAGTTATGGAAAGGTTTATGGCTTTATATAATGCATAATTTTTTTGAATCTCTGGGTTGATCGTGGGCCGACACTTTTATGTGATATTAAGTAGTCCAATTTTTAATATTCACTGACACGAAAGCTTCTTTGTATCACAAAAATCTTATTTGATAGTATTTTAAATTTTTAGTATCTATAAAAAATTCAAATTCAGTGATAAATGTTTTATATATTTTGCAGTTTAATATAGATTAATCGATAGTTTCATACTTAAAAATTTATTGTTGTATATTATAATGGAATATTTTTTTCAGGCAAGAACTAATTAACAAATTTAATTCATCCGAAGATATTTTTGTATTTCTTCTCTCCACCAAAGCTGGAGGCTTAGGAATTAATTTAACTACTGCTAATCATATCATTATTCATGACATAGATTTCAATCCTTACAATGATAAACAAGCAGAAGATCGATGCCATCGTATGGGACAAAAAAAGTTTCTGCTTTTTTACCTTCATTGATTTACAAAATTTCTTAAATTCCTTTTATTTAAAAAAATTTTTAAATTCAGTTTTCAGTATTAATTATTTAAGAGAAGTTTATGTTGTTCGTTTGATATCATCTGGAACCATTGAAGAAGAAATGTTAACCATAGCACAAAAGAAATTACAACTTGAAAAGGAAATTACTGGTGGCAACATTAATGGTACAAAGTTTGTTTCATTGCATGAGGAAGGAAAATCTTATTTGCTTATAATTTTTATTAGAAAAACGCACTCTTGATCTAATTTTTTTATAAATAATTTGTATAAAATTTTAGACAATGGATCAGAGAGGGAACTGGTAGAAACGCTTATGAAAAGGATATTATCATCCTAACAATTTATTCACTTTCACCATTGGTTTGAATCTTGGTGTTTACTGGATCTCAGTATCGGAAATGCTTAGAAGCATCTATCTAAAACTACTATAGAATTAAAATATTTCAATTTTTGCTGAAAAACGCTTTTATTCTTCAATGATTTTTATAATTCCATCCATTTTTATTCCAAATTGTTTCAAATATACCACCCATTTTTTATTTGATATATATATATATATAAAATATATAAAATATTGAGGTATTTTTGCCTAAATTTAAATTTCATACTTTTTGTTTTTTTAAAATAAGGTAGTGCATGTACAAATATATTAGATACCATGTATAGATATGCATCAAATCTATGAAATGAAGGTTGTTGCCAGCTAATGCATAGAGTAATTACGAATAAGGTGAAATGCTTACCATTTTATTTATCCCAAAAAAACAGCCAAAAAGTATTTCTAATATCATACAAGCACAAGGCACACCGCATACAGATGTAACAAATGTATACAAATGTAACTGCTAGCATTTCCCTATGCTTTAAGATATAATAAATTATAAACGATAAATATATATACAATGAAGTTTTATGAAAAGTCGCACCAAAAGAGGTTGTATGCATAAAAAAAAGGATAAGGAAGAGAAAAAATATGTCGAAGATATAAAAATTGTACACATTTTACAACCGTCATCAATATGAAATTTATGATGGATGTAATATATGCAAGTATTTGTCGCAAATGTTCACTACACTACAAATGTTCACTACTTTTCCACATATTCATGGAAAACGTGATGGGGCTGATTTGGTGGTCATATTAACAATGATAAAATTTCTGACAGCTCTTGTACAGTAAATAATATATTTATCATCGGCATCGGCATTTGAAAAAAAAAATTATAGTATGATATACAATTTATAAAAGAAATGAAATTTATTGAAATCACCTTGAAGTTAGAGTAGAAAATCTTATTTTGGCGATATGCATACTGAAAACCAAACAGCCCTCCAAAAATCGCGATATTACGTGAAACTTTAAAATAAAAGAAAAAAATATTTAAATTACCGAAAGTAATTATGGCTGACAGTACATAATAAATGTTTTGAACAAAAAACCGGTATTCTTTATTGAACGTCGGGTGCTGGTGGATAATTATCATCTTCCTAAAATTTAAACGACTTGATGCGAGTTGTTAAAATATAAAATATAAAAATATAAAAGCAAGACAAATAATTGCTTAAAAATCAAGGAAAATACAATACAATTATAACTAACTCTTGCAGATATATCGTAAACAAAAAAAGCTTTTTTTTTAAAAACCATCTTGCCATTAGACTAAACAAACCAATTAAAGATAAATGAAAAAATTACCCGACTGGAACTAGGACCAGGTTTACCAGTTGATGATGGATTGGATCTAAGCGATTTTGGACGTAAAAAAAACATTGCGAGAGCAATCATACTCCAAATTAATCCTATCATTATTAAATTATTTCCACCAAGACCAACTCCTTGTGGCCCAGGTAAATCTTGTATACATTCCGAATCTGTGCAGTACCCTTGCGCATCACGCAGCTATAATTCAAAAGCATGAATTATTTCTAAAGCCTTCTCCATAATACCACTATTAATTAAATAAATAATCACATTCAACTTTAATTTTAGTATTTGAAGAAAAACTAGAGGCTAAAAAAATACATAATTTTCAACTTCTCTTAGACTTACTTTTTTTATTTCATTAAAACTCGGTTCATAAAATATCACCTTTTATTTCTCATATATCCGCCATGAATTCCTAATATATGCGTTTAGGATCATTACAAAAAATTTGGAAATAATTTTTCTTTCCAAAATGAACACATGGCAGTTAGCCTTTCTTGATTCTTGGTATTTACATAAATAGTTTTTAAAAATATAAAATGATTTTTATATTTTTAAAAAATATTTTACAAAGGAAATTTATAAATTTTTTTAAAAATTCTTTAAAATTTTCCATCAATTTTTACATATTTTATGCAAAATTACTGTCAAAAATCTATAATGCCTTTTCAAAAATTCCGCAATTTTATTATATTTAAATATTTATTCAGATAGAATGCGTATTATATGTTATGCACTATGAAATAATATATTTAATTATTATTATTTAAGGGCATTGCATAATTAATGTAAATGAGAACAAAAAAAAACACCGCATATATTATTTCAAAAAAGAGAAAAAAAGTGAAAAACTTACGAAAGAGATGAGACGCTCCATCGCTCTTTCATGACTAAAAATACATTCACATGGATCATCTGCCATTTTTTATAAAATTTAAAATATTTTTACTCGATATTTTATCTGAAATTTCTAATCGATATTCGACTCAAATAACAAAAAAGAGAAAAAATTGATTTCCCACTTTCTTTTCTATCTTTTCCCTTCACATCATTAAAACGGATAACTTCTCAAGTGATTAGCGCATATTTCTGGTTAGATTAGCTGCAGCGGTTGCTAGTGTAATAAGGAATTTTTGCAAAGAAATTATCTAGGAATGGAAACATAAGTGGATTCATCACACCACCCAGCCAATTTATAAAAATGCAACAAACAAAATTTTTTAAAAAATCAGCAATTCTAACCATCCTTTGCTGTCTACTTTTTATTCATACACCAGTAATAACATAAAAAACGAACCCTACAAATGATCACATGCTGCAGGTCTAATTTTTTACCATAAACAAAATCCAGATGGTACTGGAAGACTTTTTCACCAACCAATGATCTCAATTCAATATCGAGAGCAATCCAAAGGAAAATAGTAAATGCTAACAGAAAAAGAATAATATTTATGCTTTTTCCTCCTCTTCTTAATTCAACTGTATTTTCCCTGACTCAGCTATTGAAACTAACTTACCCGACTTGCGACCCAAAACTGCACATATACCCACCCCACCCCACCAACCCACTCCAAAACAACGAAGCAAGCAACCATCTGCTATGTCGATAAAGCAAACAACCATTTCATACAGTGTTATTGAAACGTCAGCTTTACGTCTCAAAGCGAATTTTCTCTTTGTCTTTTAAATTTTCCGAAAATTATAGCACTCTTCCAAACTTTATAACCATTACTGATCCTTTAGAAGTAAATTTACATAACTGTTCAGAGTTCTCTTTGGCTTTTTTCCCGTTATAAGGTGTGGGAGTCGAACCTTTAATGCTATTGATATTCTACTAGTCAGTATAAACGACTTCAACATTTGCCATAGATAAATTGGTTTTGAGTGCCAGTTTTTGACAAGCAGCGAAGTGCTTAGATTGCTACTTCGCTGGAGATGAGAGATGTATGAATATATCTAGAAGATATTTTGCCATAATCGTAATTAGGGAGTAGAGTGGTCGAATGTCAAATGTTCATCAGTTTGATCCCTCGGCGAGAGCACTGCGAAGCTATTATTGAAGTAAAAAGAATGGAAGTAAAAGTGCGGACAACATTTGGGGATTGCTTGTACTCCTATCTTCTTGTGACTCGTTGGCAAAAGTCGAAAGCCCAATGGTGTTAGTTCCAGTAGCCAGCGGGGGATGCCACAAATGGTCGATGTTTTTTTTTAAAAGCAGTTGCTGGTTAGACTTCGCTTCGCTGGCTTGTCACACTAGACTATATGCTAGGGGTCCACTGGCGATAGAACTACAGGTGAGTCCCAGCATCACAAATTTTCATCCTGTATTATTATGGGTTTTAAGCGTCGTAGACATCTAATAACGTTGTTTCAATCTCACTCAGCGCACAACTTTGATTTTCATTGAAAAAAAGTATTCGTGTTATCGTCAGCAAATACAAGAGAAAAATATATTTGCAACATGGATATCAGAGGTGAACACATATTTATCCTAAATATTAAGGGATGAATTATGTGGTTGGAAATGCGATGCAACAGATTAGATATAACAGCATTTTTATAGGTTTTTTTATATTTTTTATTTATTTTATTTTTTATTTTTTTTATTCTCATCTCTAAAATCTCCCAAACAGTTGATGAAAACATGGAAGATATATGGAATGTGGAAGTATGAGATTATTTCGATAAAGAAATCTATAAAGTTAAAGACCTCCATATTCTCCAGTATTACGAAAATTCACTTAAAAAATTTTTGCTGAATTTTTGCTTTTTGCCATTTCTTCATTAATTTTTAAATCTAATTCTTGCATTGATGATACAAATTTCGTTAATTCATCGATAAAATTTTCATAGTTGCACATAGATCGAAGTCCTTTTCTTATCCATTTTGATAACTTAGCAAAGTTGGCATTTGGTTTATTTGGTAACAAACGTTCATCAACCATTAAAAGAGCTCCCCAATCAGTACGATGTCTAAGACACCTGAAAAATACTTCTTCTTTATAAAAAAATATTTCGATAAAAAATTAGAAATCTAAAAGAAACAAACCTTCCAAGTGCTTGATTCAATGCTCTATATGCTTGTATTGTATACCAGTCGTCTCCAGATAATATATTCATTTTCTTACAGTTTTCATTATTATATTTCCTTTTTTCGCGTACCTGGAAAAAAAATCAAAAATTTTTTTGGAAGAAAAAGCTAATCACAACAAGATGCCACTGTATTAGAATAAAGTAAAAGAAGTTATGTGCTAGAAATTATAATGATTCAAAATTAAAAATTCATGAAAAATAAGTAAAAATTGTAAATGATAATAACAGCGATTTATTTAAATTATTAAAATATCAAATATAATATCAAAATTTATTATGTTAGAAAAATTATATAAATTATAAATTATATAATAATAAAAATTATATAATCTTATATTATACATTTTATATTATATAGTTATATAATAAAAATTATTTTCTAAATGAAATATAATAAAAACTTTTGAATATATTTTTAAATTATGTATTATACATATATGTATATATGTATGTATATATATATATATATATAAAATTTATTAAGGAATATTTGCATTAAAAACGAATATTTAAGAGAATCCTTTTCAGTAAAAATAAAAAATTTTTTAATATGTGACCAAAGATATGTTTCCTATTTAATTTCATCAAAATCCTATCCTTTCATTTAAAAAAAAAAAAACAGTTCCCTAAAACCACGATATCTGGTTTATTGGCCAATATGTTGCTTGTATGTTTAAGTGGGAAATTCTACAGAATTCTACAGAATATTGGCCTTATTCTCTATGATTTTTTGAGGAATCTGCACCTCATCTTGAAGGAATCTATGTCATATATAGATTTTAAAGATGTTATAGATTTTCTTGGGCAATATTATCTACTTGGTTATACCTGTCGGTATATTTTGTTTTCATCTTACATCCTATCATTGTGCTGGACAGTTTATGAGATTTTTCTGCGCAATTTGCAATCTTTAGTTCTGTGTAGTAAGATAGCTTCACTGAATCTGTTCTTTTGCTGTTATGATCGTATAAATCCCCTTTCCAACCTTTGTGGGCAATATCCTGAACCTCAGGTCTATCAGAGGCCTGGAAGATTGAGATAAGATAGATAAACTTTCACAGCTTAGAATTGACTATATGAAAGCCTGTTACTCAGTGGCACCACACATGAATCTGTGAATGTCTGACTGTATGTAAAGTGCACAGGATTCTAAAGATATTCATTGAGAATTCAATGGGACAGCGAAAATGACTTGAAGTCAACTCAAAATAGATTGCGCAAGTGGCTATCAAATGGAGTATATATCAAGTGACGCATCGTCTTCCCTATTGTTCTGTTTAGATCCGAATTTCTCAGACTGCCATGAGAAGCACATATGGATAGAAATTCATGAGCAGAACTATCATCAGTCATCTTCTCTACATGATGATATCAAGTTATATGCAAAAAGTGAACGAGATATCGACTCATTCATCCATCCAACTTGGATTTACAGCGAGGACATTAGGATATCATTCAGATTAGAGAAATGTAGCCGGAAATAAAGAGAGGAAAAGTGACAATGACTGATGGAGTGGACATGCCATTAGGACATATAGCAGGCTATTAGTACCTTGATATTCCACAGTTACATGATAACCATGATGCAACCACGTTTAAGTATCACCAAATGACAAGACAAATCTTGAAGAATGAAGAGCTAGCTCAATGGGAAGAACAAAATCCATCCCATAAATATGTAAGTTCTACCAGTCATCAGCACTGTAAGAGCGATAGATAAAGGAAAACATGGAAGCTGCTGAAGACCAGGAAACTCTTTAAAATGCACGGAAATCCATCCCAAGAATAATCCAAAGACTACACACCAGCTGGAAAGAAGGTGAGGCTTGGGTGTGAATGCCACTATCTTGAATGAAACTCGAAGCATTCAGAAAATAATCAGCAAAGGACAAAGGATAAGCTGCTGAGAGAGTATCTGAAGCATTTACATGCATTGGAAAAGGAACAAGTGGAGAAAATACCATGGTCGTCCATAGATTGCACCATCGATAGACAGCTGAAATAGCTGACATTGTCAATGGTTGGAGAAGGTATTGATTATAGTACAGGAGCAAGCATCAACCATCAGATCCATCAAAATAAGGATCTACTATATTAGATAGGACTCTAGACGAAGACTAAAATGCCTCAGAAATAATCCAAACACATAATGATATAATGATATAAAATACAAATAAAGTCGTGGATAAGGCAATAATAAGGCGAGGATTCTGTAGGACTTCTCCATCCAGATACAAGTACTGGCTAACTAACCAGATACTATGCTAATAGCAAGAATCAGAAATCAGCGCTGCTAATAAATATAGCAATGCCAATGACAGGAACGTTAGGAAGAAAGAATATGAGAGAAGAAATACAAGGGCGAAAAGAGGAATTAGAGAAGTGGAAAGGAAAGGTAATTCCAATGATAATTGGAGCACTTGAAACTGTGATCCCTAAATTAGAGAAATGGCTTCAGCAGATTCCAGGAACAAGCAAAACTCTCAATCTCCCAGACCTCTGATAGAGGATCCGAGGTTGAAAATGATCATTAGCACATGGGATGAGATTTTTTAAATACTATACTCTTGGGTTGCATTCTTTTCTGGTACTTCACAACTTCACAACTTCTCTTCACAACTTGTTTAATTCCTATGACAATCTCCTTCGAACCTTCATTTTCATGCCCGTATAATCCCCTCAATATCCGAATATCTTCCAATTTCCTCTTGCCCTACGAGATCATCATTCTCGTTATTTAATCCTCCCGAATTTTATAATTTTCAATTAAAATCGTCAAAAATTGCAATTTAAGGCTTAAGGATTTTATCAAAGCGGTTAGAATAAAGAGATATGATGGATTAAGACTGCATAATGGAATTAACAAAGTAAATTATTATAATTATTTTAACAAAATTTCAATGATGGTTGGTTCTTGCGAAAGCATAGAGGAAAGCTTGATGGAGCGATGGTATGCTTCGAGGAACGTTAAGCTATGAAGTTGTTGGGAAGATATGAGAAGTAGTTAAAGAGATATTTTAGATAAAGCAAAAAAAGGGATGGGACTTAAAAGCTAACAATGATCCGAATAAGAAGATATTTAAGGCGAGTTCAGAATAGCTTTCACAAAATATAGTAACGAATGTAGATGACCTTTTATTCGGATAATATAGATGTGGAAATATAAAGATGAAAAATGCCATCAATAAAACTTCGAATTTATTTATTGAATTTGTTACTGAAAATGAATGAAATATTCGTTGATACGTTAAATTTAGATAAATTTGAAAAAAAATTGAAATTCACCAGTTCATCAACAATATTTGGAAACGGTATTCCAACAGCGATCACACAACGAGCACGATCATCTGCAAAGTCTATCCCTTCAGATACCTGGAAATTGGTCTTCAGATCTCAAGATTTTCTAGTTTTTCGCATAAGAAACAATAAAGAATTATGATCGCTCCACCAATCTAACAGTCTTGAAATAAATTTATCATTTTCCCTTTTTTTAAAGAACTTTTTTTTGGATTGAAACTAACTAATGTTACAAAAATACTGGGTCCTTCAGAAAGTTCAGTTGGTTTTTTAAAGTTTATCTTTTTTGAAACAAAATATTTTTGTTCAAAATAAATGCCAATGTCAACACACATTTTTGCCAATGTAAATTTATTAACAAATTGCATTTATTCCATTCCTATGAAAATATGATCTTCTGGAACAAATGAATTGCTGGAAGATGGCAAGGCCCTCCTGCTTTTCCCTGAGGAAATTGCCGAGAGAGCGAAAAATTTGGTGGATAAGAGAGAACTTCGAACTTGATAATTTTGCAATATGTGGTCTAATGTATGAAGAATAATGATTCTTATTTCGGCTGGATTAATTTCAATTCAATTCTTTTGAGGTTTTGCAGCATAGTCCACTCCGAGTAAAGATCGTCTATGGATTCATGGATTTCATGGATTTTTGGGACGATTCATTAAGCCATTTCCGCCAATCTTGTTCTCGTACAGATTCCGCTAATTCCAAAAATCGTTCATTTTTGATATTGACGAACCTCTAAACCTCATTTCCCTCACACAGACAATTCGTAGAGTTCTCATTTGTTCACATTGTTCACTATCAAGCTTTTTTTTCTCTATTGCGCATAGATGGTGACATAATATAAAAACAATCTCATGTGCTAATCTGCACAGTTCCTTGTGGGATCATCCATCACCATTTCCTTCAGGGATTCGTTTATAGAATTTGAGGTCCGTCCAAAGTGTGAGGATTTTCGAGATCCATATTTCCGGGCGCGAATTTCATAAGCCACTTTTCCATTGTTTTTTCGTTATGAGCATCAAAAAAAACTTGCATATTACGAGCTGTTCCGACTGCTCGATGGTCTAGTAATTACACCACTTCATGTCAAATCTAATCAATCTAATCAAATCTAATCTAATTAAACGTAGCTATTAGTCCGTGGTACGATCAAAGATTCGAATGATCAAAAATTATTTTTTAATGAAAAAATAACAGTTATATATATCTCTACAACCAAAAAAACTAAAGAACAGAGTGATATATGGTACATTAAAATGGCATGACAACAAAAGCGGCCTCAAAGCCATAAATAACAAAAACCAGTTGAAGTTTCTGAAGGACCCAACAGAAGGTTAGAAGAACTTTGCTACCTTTCCTCTAAAAACAGCAAGCATCAACGCACCACTGCAGTTCGCACCATACTTTTCTGGATTCATTATGGCACCTTCATATTCTAACATTATATCATTCATTTTAGATGATCGACGAGGTTCACAAATTATATGCTAAAGCAATGGAATTTTTTTGAATACTACTGTTTTTTTTTAAAGTTTTCATTTTGTTGGGATTCAATCCTATAAATGAAATCCAAATAAAATAATCAAAAATAAAAAATCTGAAAAAATCGAAAAAATCGAAAAAAGATAACGAAATAAAAAATCATTCGAAAAAAAAGAATTTAAAAAAATAGAGAAAAAAGGATTAAAAAATGGATAAATAATAAAATGGATGGATTAAAAAATGCAAATTAAATAATGGATCCATGGCTTAACATAGCTATTTAAATTTTGTAGACTATGTTTTAAGAAATAAGAAATAGCCCAATATGCTCGAAAAATTCATGCAATAAATGTAGAAAGATAAAATAAAACAATAGAAGCAAGAAAAATTAATTCTTTTCAAGCAAACTAAGAAAAATAAATGAACAAAAAAATAAAGAAAATCGAACTTTAATAGACTCGATTTGCGCTAAAATGCCCGACAAATCCATGAAATTATACAGTTTACTGAGGACTTGATAACTTGTTAAAAAGCATAAAATTCCTTTGGGCACCACTTCACACACAGATCTATGAAAAAAATAAAATCATTTTAACTAAACATCACAAAATAGCCAATTTTTTCATTATGGCATTTAACTTACTTTACAACGAGTGATAATTCGTGAATGAAATTATCATCAGTACTCAAACTTTTGTAAGTTGCACAAAGACGATATCCTGTAGGTCCCTGAAATTAAAAGGGAAAATAAACGAAAACTAATAATCATTTTGTTCTGAAAATTATTAAAATATGATATAAAATAATATTAGAATTGTAAATAAATATTATAATAAAGCATTAGAATTTCATGAAAATTGTCTTATTAAACAATATAACAATAATATGGTCCCATTTTTATTTCTCCAGGGAGCGATTCAGTGAAAAATACCGATGGTATTGTAGTGGCAAATATTCGTTCATCTGGAACAATTTGATTTCCTTCCAATTTTTGGCTAAAATTGATACCCAGTTCTGTCTGGAACGTATCTATTGGGCATAAAGTTCCAGAAGCAAGTATTATGCTGTGACAACTTTTAAATGATTCAGAAAATGCCTCAAAATTGTTTCATTAATTCTTACGCAAATAAATAAGAAAACTAATACAAAAAAATCATCTTTTACCAAATTATACAAATAATTTAAATCATTCAGAAAACACAATTTTTTATTACGACATTTAATTCACAACTTACAACGGGAGAGGGGGGAGGGGGGGAGGGGGAGGCTAATTTTTTTCGGATCTTATTGGTTCAATGGATCTTCTTCCAATATTTTTCAACTTTTGTTTAAAGATAGGAATAATTGAACAACACAAACACGAATTTAATTGATGAAAAAATGGGAATATGGTAATATTAAAATGTTAATATATAAAAGAAATTTCAATCAGGGATTGATGAAAATAAAATATACATAAATTTTGTCATTTTTTGGTTATCCAAGTTTAAATCTTTGGTAAAGCGTGCTTGGTTAAAAATTGAATAAAGAAGAATGTAGAAAAATAAGTGTATAAGAGTATAATAAAACAAAGATATACAAAAAAAAACAAACGATGGATGGCGTCATGCACCATAAATTAAGTGTTACTCGATAACCGGATTTAATCTCCTCGTAACTTTTTAAATAACTTGAACCAGAAAGCATATTATTATTTTTAATTACATTTATGTCCAAAACATCGTCCTTAAAAAAAAATTAATCGATTTCTTGAAAATTTTTATTAAAAAAGGCTCAAAAGCTTTGTCACTAGCATTTTGAAGGAAATTTCACAAATTAAAATAAAAGAATTTTAGACCTTTTAGTCCTTTTTTTCAGATTTGTTCAAAACATTTATTTGTTGAATTCAGTTTTATTATAAAAATTAAATTAAAACAATGAGAAAGTTGAAAAGGCACTAAACGATGCAAAATTGAAAAAATTAACTAACTTTGGCGGAAAAATAACTATCATTTTGCTTCGAAAATTTGTTTAAATAAGGTTTGTCAATGCAAATATGCATCCTAGAAATAATAATAAGCTATGCTAAATGAACAAAACTTTTATAAAATGAGATTTTAAAAACAGTTGAATTCAAATTATTATGAAGTGGAAACTGGCATAAAATTTATAACTATGAAGATTTACAATTAAGCTTACTTATAAGAGGTTCTACTGCTTTCACGAAAGTATAATTTGAAAAAATAGCACAATTTTTCAATAAATATTTGAGTTGATGATAATAGCTGGTAATGCCTTAAATCGAATTGCTTTTCATCGCTAGATGATCCCGATATAGTATTTAAAGCATCCTGGAAATTACAGAAAACATGCTGATTTGAACTTTTTCTCCAAATTCTAAAATACGCTCATTTTAATTGGAACTAACCAAAAGAATTGTTAATGGATTATTTTTAGAGATATCATTAAAAATCAATAAATTAGCTTCTTCCAACGACGTGTATAATTCTTCCCAAGAATAAGTATTGCTTGACTTTTCATCTTTTGATGCCATTTTTCGCGATATTTCTGAACATTTTCCCACAAACCAATTTAATATATTTTTTAAGAATCTATTAACCTGCAAAAAGGCTAAGATTAGGAGATTAATGAGTAATGAAGTTTAAAGAATATAAGAAAAGAGTAAAAAAGTAAAAAACTAGAAATAAAATGATGATCAAATTCAATTGAAAAGATCAGATTTAAATATTTTGAATATTTAATAAGATATTAAATATTGAAAAAATAAATTTTAACTTAACGGGTAGAGTTGGGTATACAACCCTTAGTTTACCTGTCAAGTACCATGGCTTGGACTTAGACTTAGTTAACCTGCTAAAAGCGTCAAATGATGTTGAAGTGTCGGATGGTGCCCAGTTAAAACCTAATGATTTTCTGGCTAACGTCAAGTGATTTTCTGGCTAAAATGTTTCAATCTAATAGCCTACAGAGAAAGATTAACCAGAACCACTAAACATTGAAAAAAAAAAAACTAAGAAGCAAAAGTATGTAAATGTATAAATTACTAATTGCAAATGAACGGTTTATTGTCAAGCAGTCTCATATACCATTTTACATCTTAAAATTTACTGAAGGCTAAAGATTACTAAAATGAGGATCTAAAATTCTTTCGTAATCGATCAATCCCTAAACAAAAAAAATTAATAGAACAACTTACCGTTAAATAACTGTTACTTATACTTGTAACTGATTCTTCGAAACAAACATCAACATCAGTTTCACCAATTTCAGCAATCTTTTTTTTTATAGCTATCTTTTTTTTGATAATATCCAATAATTTCTCAAGATCAATCACTGAAATGATTTTTTGCATAGTGAGGGAAAATTTAAAATCTTTGCTCGACTTTATTTAACAAATTTGGGAGAACATGCATCACCAAATTATTACAAAATTCTTCTTCGATCAGCTCACACTATTCGAATAGAGATAATGGTACTCTTATATCCGCTCGACGAACCTATAAAATGCACCTTAGATATGAGTGGCCAAAGGTATATAATTTCTTAATATCCTCTACCCTCAATAGCTATATCTCGCAGCCATATTTTAAGGCCGAGCGAAACCATATGGAAGCAGATTTTCGTTTTTATGGTCATTTCGCGACGGTTCCAGAAACGTTTCGCCAACTAGAAAATGTAGCTAGTATACCAGGATTGTAATTTCATCCTTCATTTAGCTGTTTGGGATTAGATTGGATCCAAGAAATTAATCCAGATCCAAGATCTGGTACATCCTCAAGCGACAATGAATTGATAAAAATAGGCATTTTGTCAGTATATAAGACGAAAAGATTTTATTTATTTTGATCCCGAGCCTGATTTTTGCTGCAGTTGTTGACATATTGCTTAGCATTATTTGTATTTCATTATAACTATCAGCAAAACTATGTTATCAGCGTATTCAAGGATTGAGATATTATACTCTGGAAAGATTTGCGTATTGAGTGCCTATTGTAGAGTACTTGTTGAGTGCCGATAAACGATGACCATTATTCACTATCGCATAGTTGAATAATGTAAAAAAAAAGGACGCAGCTTTTGCGAATATCAATTCTTATTTTGAAACAATCCGTCAATTTCCACAATCGTCCAAAGTACCTCTGTCAACTGAATCGAAGACTGTTGCAAAATTGATAAAACAAGTGACGGTGGGTTGCCGATATTTAAAGCATTGTTCCAAAACTCGATATGAATATTTAGTTAAGACAACTACGTCCCGATCTGAATCCCCTTGGTTACGACGCATCCTGCTGCCTTTTACTGTCGTAAATCTGTTTAGTAAGAAGGAAGGGAAAATTTTCCAGAAATGTCTAATAAATCTGATTCCTCGACATTGTCAAAGTATCCTGTCACCTTTCTTATTAGAAACAGAACTGCTTTATTCCAGTCATCTGATATTATTTCTTTTTTCCTTAACAAAAAATACATTTATTGAAGGTGCATTACGACTATGGACAACATTTGAAGAGTTCAGCTCAAAAACTGCCTTCTCCCGGAGTTTCATTGGCCTCAAACTTAGAGATAACGAAGATTATTTCTTTTTTTATTGGTGGCTCGCAATTGCAAACGTATGGCACGAATCAGCATGTCCGGACAACAGATGGTGATCGTGGTTAAGTTTGCCCTCAAAGGATTCGTCCTGTCTTACAAGGTCCTTAATATTCTTAACAGACAACCTGAGTTATCCGAAATACGACAATAACTAATCTGTGATCGGAACTAAGTTTATTAACTGAAAGAGGAAATCCGAAATCAAGAAGGCGGACCTCCGAATTATTTATAAATAAGAATTTTGTATTAACATTTAAAATAAAATAAACAATTAAAGAGTATTACATTTTTTGCTCGCGTCAACGCATGCTTCAATTAATTCTTTTTCAGTGAATGAAAAACTAGTAGCTTCCCGACAAACATCTTCAACATTATGCGCCTCATCCAAAATCACTATAGCATTTTTTAATTTTACATCGGAATTATCACGAATAATTGGATCTATAAAAAATTCATTTCAATATATTTCGAGTTACAATTATTTAATTCCTTATAAAGAAGAGAATTGCCGCGAAAGAAACAATATTAAGAAAAATCAAGCAACCTAGCATATAAGAAAATGGGCAAAAAATAATGTCAGCATCCTGAGTTAATATTCTTGTCGCAGCAAAATATGGACACATTTGTTGTGTTGATGTTTTAAATATATCAACAAGATCTTCAATATCCCATACATTACCATCCGAATTGTCGAAAAGAAACGACCGCATTCGACTAGCACTTTCATATTTTGGTTTTATAATATTTTTATAAGGACAACCAACCTGAGATTTATGATGAACATGAATTCATCACCAAAGCTCACAAAGAAGATAAAAGAATTTAAACTATTTCGCAAATGAACTTTTTAAAATAAAGAAAAAATAGATAAAAGATATTACCATCAATAAGCAAAACACAAAAATGTGGTTTTCAAAAAAAAAATTTAACTTACACCGTCTGATACAATTAATTCTTTACATTTTGTATTTATATCATTACTTCCTCGAACATTTCGATTGATACAAGTATGTTCTCGACTTGCTAATATCGTATGCCTAAAAAACGAGAGAAAAAAGTACTTATTTAACGTATTTTTCAAAAAAGATTCAAATTCATTTTCGCTACTTCAGAAATTAATTGATTAAAAATGAAAGTAATAAGAGAATTCATAAACATTCTTTTTCAAATCTTCTCAGATGAATAACAGAATTAACTATGCTAGCAGGTCTGCAATTGAAAGTAGAGTAAGCCCAGACAAAAATTGATATAAAATATTTAGAATAAAAGGTGAAACCAACTTCAAATTTGAATAATAACCGTAAGGCAAACGCGAAAATTCTTTTACAACTTGCCCAATTTGTCTATGAGTTCGGGTACCGTAATAAATCACCACTTTTCTTAAATAAATAATAAATATTAAATGTGAAATTTAGTACAAAAAGCAATGATCCACACATCAATGCGATATTAAAATTGTCCATTAATTTTTGTTTCATCGAATTATCAAAAAGACTCTATGTTCCTGTCTACTCTATTCCTGTTATCAAGCGGAAGAAAACCATAGTGGGATGTTCCATCTCAGATGATCACAATGGGATTCTAACCCAAGGTTAAATCTATCTTTCAAAAATTCAAGTGAAATAGCGATTTACGTATATTTTTATGAAATGGCTCCCTGGCAGAATTTGTCAGGATCCGACAAGACAACAATAGTTATTTTATTCGCAGCAAGAATTCAAAGTAATATTTTGTAGGACACATTATTATAATGGGTGATTATTTATTTTTCATAGAAGTTTTACATACGGCAAACAAGTGTGAACACCATTCTCAGCATAACTGTAGATATTGTCGTCCTTAACAAAATACCGCCTTGAATCATCGAAAGTGGAATCGAAAGAATTCTAAAGATGCACAATAATATATACAAAAAAGTTGGTTTTCAATTGCAATTGGTAATGCAGAACCAAAAAGGACATAAATTTCCAATCTTTTTTCAGATAAGCCATCGTTCACGAAAATGATCTCACGTTAAATTTAGCCAACATTTTTTCTTTTTTTTAAATTTAAATTAATTCTTTCCCTTCTCGGTCAATTTCCAGGATACAAAAAGAGATAAAAATAATCAATACTTCAAAGTGGCAACATTTCCGGAAAGTTTTACAATCTTTTTAATTTTTTCTAATTCTTTTCTAAAAAATCTTAAAAAAATGGAAACAAACCTTTCTATTCATACCGGCTAATTTCGGTAATGAAAAATCAGCGTCGAATTCATCTTCAACTAAATATTCTATTATGAATAAAAAAAACTCAAAAAATTAAGAAACAAGATAAGAAAAAATTCCTTATATTTCCACCTGAAAATCGAATTAAAAATCTAAATATTCTATGTAATAAATTATTAAAATTTTTAAAAACAAATGGTAAATAAAATAATTACCACAAATTTTTTTTGGGACTAAGATGTATTTCTAAATAGTCATTTTTACTTTCACTGACTTTTGGAATGAGACATAGGCAAACATAAGCAAAAAAGGGTACAACTAAAAGATAAAAGTAGATTCATGTCCCAAGTGGCAAGTTTATTTAGGCTGAATCATTAATCATGAATCATGAAGCTTGAAATGAAATAAAAGCAGTGCATCGAATTAATATATACTAACCGGTTAAATTCAGCGATTTTTCATGAAAATCTGATTCATTCATCGAAAAATTATCTCTTTTTTTATTGTAGTTATCAACACTTTTTTTGGATCTTGGATTGCATACATTACAATTAATTTTAGATTCGTCCCTTTCTTCTTTGTATTTCTCTAACCAAGCACATGTCGACGATAAAAGACTTAATGTTTTGCCTTAATAAATATCAAAAATAACAAACTGTTTTACGCAGTCTCTTATATTCTTACATGATATTCTTATATATTATTATAAAATATTCTTATAATAAAATAATATTTTTTTCGAGCATTTTAAATACTTCTAAATGTTAAAGCATTATTCTTGAGGTATTTTTCCAGGTGCTTTTTTTCATATATTTAACGAAAATTATATTTTTTTAGTAGAATACAAATTTTTTATCTGCTTTATCTGAAGACAAAGAAATTGCGTTGCTATCGAAAATATATAAATAAATGGATAAAAGGAAACTACGAAATGAAAAAGAAAATACATAAATGAAGATACCTCGAGTAACTAAGTCGCAGACCAGGTAAGCGAAAAATAGTGATAACCACTTGAAAAAATGCAAAAAAAATTAATGATTTGTGAAAGGTTTAAAATTTTCCAATTTTCTTATAAAGGAAAATTTACCGCTTCCTGTTGGACTTTCAACTAATACATTCAATTTATTTTTTAGTGTGAATAATATTTTGGCGATCATAGTTCGCTGTGTTTGATAAGGCTCAATTTTCGGTGGTAATCGTACGTTATATCCGCATATCAATAAATTTCCGTAATTCATCAAATCGATACCAATATTCGACCTTCTACGTTCTATAATTTTATTAATTTTTCAGTAAAAAAATATTTTTCAATAAAGTTTTTCCCTCAGATTTTCGTAAATTCTGAAAATTTCTATTCATTTCATTTCTTTAGTTTAAAAAAAAATGACCTTTGAATTTCTGAGAGTTTATAGGAATTTATCATTTATCCATTGAACTTTTGTTAAATATTTTTGTATAAATTTACCTTTTCTACAATTTACTTGAATTTTTTTTAAAGAAAAATGAAAATATCTAATACAAATTTTTTTCACCAACTTTCCTTTCCTCACTATAATTAAAAATGATTTAATAATAGCAAGAAAATAAGCGATTAGCGCTCACCATTTCTAATTCTACCTCTGCGAATATTAGTACGGTTTTTTGTTAAGAGAGAAGAGAGAAATGTGGGGTGTATGCGTTGCCAGCACCACTCGATTTTTTAATAACAGTTCCCCCCGGGAAGAGAAGCCAAATCCACTTCTCAAAATCGAAGCCACCACTCATTTAGTTGTCCTTCCTCTTAATAACATGCAATAATACTCTATTACCGAATAATTATATCAGTATCTTATAACAATTAAGTACGACAATAGAAATAATAAAGGGAATTATAATAAATAACAATAATAATAAGTAATAAGTAATAGCAATAAATAATAATTAATAGTAAATAAATAGCAGTAATGAATAATAATAAACTCATTTTCGAAATACAAAAATAAAAATAAATTTTTGGCAAATTTTTATATTCTATTTTTCTACCGCGTGTTTTCCAATTTTATCATTAGTCTGAAATTAAAATATAAAAAATTTCTCTAAAGGAACTTTTAATATTTCGTCCGCTTGTAGTGCTTCTATCGCAAAATCCTTTCTCACTGTTGCTATTAATAGTTGAATTATTTGTTCGTCGCTCATAAAAATTTTTCCAATACGGATGAGCATTCGTGGCCATCGATATTTAATTTTTCTTAAACATTTCCTTTTAGTACTGAAAATTCCCTCTTCTTCTAATAGAATCCGTCATTTCTGGTTTGGCTGACTTCACTAACTAGAATGAGACACATCCGAGACCCGGGTGATGTTGGCGACTCATCTGGGATTTTTTTTCAAAGTCCTCATCATTACTCGCTCCACAATATGCCAGAAAGTCCCATGGCGATAGAAATACTTCAAGTTCACTTCTTGTACATGGAATCGAACCTCTGCATTGGCGCTCCCAATTGAGCAACAACCCACTGAGCCATTCTATTCCCTATCAGCCTGAGATTACGGAAATGCAATTGAGTCCTCAGCAACACTCCGTCTTTTTAACGATGAATCCCCCTCCCCCTTCTCTCCCTTAAGGGCGGCTGTAATAAATGGAGCAATAACTCGTCTGTCGCGTCCCCGCACTGAAATTGCAGTGCAAATTTCGAATCTAATAATACAAAATAAAAAGAATTTACCTGGGGAAATCATGAACAATAAGTGGCTAAAGTAAAATACGAATTTAAACTTTCTTAAAAATCTTTTATGAGAAATGCGCAGATATAAAATAAAAAGTGGGCGTGGCAACAGGTATGCTTCCTTCATTATTTTATAACTTATTGCTCGCACACCCAGAAAATACGTAAATGAAAAGGGGGTGGAAGAATATGAAGTTATTGCATTAAGTCATTTTGTTTCAATTAGAATAAAACTAAAACTAGATTCGGCACCGCAAGGCGAACCCAACGTTAAAGGATCCGGATGGTACACGCCATTCAGCCACAGCTCTCATCCATCCACTCGAAGTCCCATCATTACATTCTCACCCGCCACATTGCTAAATTAGAAGTAGCTGCGCGACCTACCTACAACCCACCTACAACCTTCATAACTTTCGCAAACTCATGGCGGATAGAAAAATTGCTTTCCATAAAAACAATTTTGCTTGTTTACACTTTTCTTCACTTTTTTCTTTTTTCCTTTCCATTTCATATCTATGTTTTTATCATTCAATAATTATTTGTTTTTTTAATAATCATTTGCTTTGCATTTATCGTCAACTTCCTGAGTATTTTGTTATAGACTTTAATTAATTTATTAAAACAAAATACGTTTATTCCATATAAATTTCAAAAAAATAAAAAACAACTTATAAAGCAATAAGATAGACTACTATAATATATTTTTAAGTGTACTTTCCCAAAAAATTAAGTGATTATTGGCCACAACAACAAATCTTAAAGGAATGTTTTTTAAGAAATTTAAAGAACAAACGTTGAAAAAGGAATATATCAGGACAATCAAGGAATGCTTCGTCCTTTTGCCAACAGAATTACGAATCCATGAAGGTCACAATCCACTAAATTTTCTTAAACAAACCAAGACAAAAACAATATGATGTGTAATGATAAAGCCATAATTTGCCAACATCAGCAGCATTTTCATTCAGATATTGATAAAAGTGAATTAAAATAAACCTGATAGAAAAACGGAAATAAATATTAGTACCAGCTGACTGATTTGGCTTATTTTTCATAATTTAGAAGCATTTACGATGCACAATTGATGGACCCGACTCGTCATATTCCTGCTTGGCAATCCACATTTGTTGGAATGTAGACAAGGATGCCAATATTGATCCGCCAATCCATACCGAGTATTTACGTTCAGGTGGTGCAATTATTTTGATCTTCATTGTGCTAGAAAACTTTTTCATTAAATCTTTGTTAACAATAAAAAATACTCGATATAACCTGTGGATAAGAAATTTCGGTAGAGATATATGTTTAAATAAATACCTAGGTGCTAGTGCAGTTATTTCCTTTTGCATACGATCAGCTATGCCAGGAAACATCGACGTTCCACCAGAAAGAACAGTATTTGCATAGAGATCCTTGCGTATATCGACATCACATTTCATAATACTATTATATGTTGTCTCATGAATACCACACGATTCCATACCTGAAATAAACTAAGTTAGAAAATATTAAATGAACTGTGTAATTTGCTAAAAATTAAAAAGAAAAAAATGATAGGAAAAAGTATACCAAGGAATGATGGCTGGAAAAGTGCTTCAGGGCATCTAAATCGTTCATTTCCAATCGTAATTACCTGCCCATCAGGTAATTCATAACTTTTCTCCAACGACGATGATGATGCAGCTGTTGCCATCTCTTGCTCAAAATCAAGTGCCACATAGCACAATTTCTCCTTGATATCACGAACAATCTCACGTTCTGCAGTCGTCGTGAACGAATAACCTCGTTCGGTAAGGATCTTCATGAGGTAATCGGTGAGATCACGGCCAGCCAGATCAAGACGCAAAATCGCATGAGGTAATGCATATCCTTAAATAATCAATCAAATTTATTAATGTGAATAATAATTGGTCTCAAAAATTTAGGATCCGGCTCCAAAAAATGAACGTAAATAAAAATAACCTTCATAAATTGGAACAGTATGGGTAACACCATCACCAGTGTCAAGGACAATGCCAGTTGTACGTCCCGATGCGTAAAGTGATAATACAGCTTGAATAGCGACATACATAGCTGGAGTATTGAAAGTTTCAAACATGATTTGTGTCATCTTCTCTCGATTTGCTTTCGGGTTCAATGGAGCTTCAGTAAGAAGTACAGGATGTTCTTCAGGTGCGACTCGCAATTCATTGTAGAATGTATGGTGCCATATCTTTTCCATATCATCCCAATTCGTTACAATACCATGCTCGATCGGATATTTCAACGTAAGAATACCTCTTTTTGATTGAGCTTCGTCACCGACATATGAATCCTAAATTTCTATGTGAATCAAATTGCTTAAATTTAATATTTAAATCATGTATACAATAAAAATAAAATCAATGAAACATATCATCGCATTTACAAATCCTCTTTATTATTATCTTATTTATTCATCTTCTATATATTAGTTCTTTTGAATAAAAATACCTTTTGGCCCATTCCAACCATAACACCCTGGTGGCGAGGCCGGCCAACGATCGATGGAAATACAGCTCGAGGGGCATCATCGCCAGCAAAGCCAGCTTTACACATTCCAGAACCATTGTCAATGACAAGTGCTGCTACTTCTTCGTCACACATGTTTTTTATTATCGCGTTATGGAAATAATGAACTGAAAATAAACAATTAATATGAATTTTACTGAAACCCACAATACTACTTTTTTTACCAATCTAAAAGTATGAAATAGTTCAATCATCTTTTATCTTAATCGTTTTATCTTTTATCAACAATTCATTTAGGAAAAAAGATAGTTCAACATGGAAAATCCGTTCTTCAAACAAATAGCGGCTATTTAAAACAAAAAAATTTAACAGAAAAATCCAAAAAACTATGACTCCAACCATTCACTTTATTATAATCAATTTACAGAACATTCGAAATTTTCTAAAATTTAAAAAATAAAATATGGTTAAATTACCACAATATTCCAATTAATCAAGCCCAATTAATTCGTTTGTCATGACAAATTTTTCGCCTTTTTATCTTTACGAAAGATGAGTCACGATGTTGGAGATGACTCACCGCATAAAGACTACTACTTATCAGCTTCACTACCGCTCTATTCCCGTTGTGAAAGGACAACTCCAATATTTGCAATCAGCTGGTGAGGCCAAAACATCTATGGTATCCTTTATAGACATACTTATATCATATCAAAGCCTAATTTTATAGTATACATAATAGGAAAAATTCCTGGTAATTCATCCGAACAAAACCTTTTGAAAAAACTAATTAATCTAATAAATCAATGTGCCGCTCTGGTCGTGGATCAGCGGAATTTCGCAATTTCGCAATTTTTCCAGTATTTCTCCAGTAACTTAAATTGAAAATCTGCATGGTGAGAACAATAGGTTAAAGTGGTAATGCTTAGATGTGCTTGCATAAAACTGCCTCCACTTCTCTCTTTCTTCTTATTAAAGGAATTATTAAAGGAATTAACCTAAAACCAAACCACCACTTTGCAAAAACAACTCCACAACCACATTTCCTCACCCAAACTCCCGAGCACTACTACCCACAACACCCCTCTGCACCATCACCATTCAACAACTAGCCTATGTATCACAATGATGCAAAATAACTACGTTTATTCCTTTTCCATTATTCAAATGACTTACACAAGCACCGCCCCCGATTGAAACCGATCACGCCCACTCGAGGGAGAAAAATGTTCGCATAGCTGATTGGTTAATTTCTGTCGTGCTCCGTCGTTGATTGGCCAATTTGAATTTATTAAATCGCGGGAAATAGTTCACGAATTTTTGCTTCAGCACAGTGATGACGTGGGTGTTAGGCAGAAGAATGGTTCAGTCAGATTCGCTGGTACCATTTGAGAGTAAGCAGTTCTCAGTAGAACTGCTTGAGTTCGGGTTCTACTTTATCGAATTCACTTGTGCAACTTATGTTGATCAATCTTTTCATTATTAATTGCTTGATAATTACATTATTAATTGCCTGATAAATGGCATTGCACATCTCTCCTTCTCTTCGCACTAACTGCTTCTACATGTTGTGCCGCACTTGTTGCTGTTGCACTTTAGTCGCGACCTTTGCCCCTCTCCTCTCATTTCCCTCGCTATCACTGCACATTGCACTTATTTGAATATGAGCACTATTGCTTATGTTGCACACATCGCAAATTGATATTTCTAATTAATATTTCTTTCTTAGAATTAACGCGTAAGTTTTTGAAAATCGTGATCGCTGCCTCTAAATTAAACAATACAATACAAATATTTGTTATTTGTAAGCATAAGCAAGAATTTCTTTGGATAAAATGACTTGGCTCATACGGTGAATGACCTTTCCGCATAACCTGTATCGAAGTACTTCCCCCAACCTATGATAGACCTTCTGTTTGCAGTAAGCCGAGTAAACCGTTCGTAAAAGCCCACAGGTAGTGCGGCACAATGTATACCGAGTGTATCCGCATATTACCCCTTCCCTTGCCTCAGAAGAAAGAATGGAATGCATCCTTCCTCCGTCTCAGAAGAAACTCTCTCTCAGAAGGGAAAATCTTCAAATTTTATAAGTGAATAATAGGAATTTATGAAAATTATAAACAAAAACGATGAATACAAATTTATTTTGAAATATTTGAAACATCGAAATATCTTTAATCATTTCTTTTCTATTAAAATATTTTTTACGGCCGCATAAATTTTTTTCTCAAGAAAAATTCGTTGATTTTATGAAGATAAAAAATTCAAACAAATTTTCCCGATATTTTGTAAAGAAAAATACTTTATTTTCTGCCACATGACGGTAAATTATTTTCATATTCAAAATTGATTAAGAGTTTTGCTTATTGATCAGTAACTCAAGTAGAACTAAAATATTTTTCGTTTTGAAGGACAAGAGTTCGCCCTCTTACTTTCCGCAGAGTAAGGCTGTTATTAAAAAACCCTTGCAAAAAATTTCATGTGGTAAGAAATGGGGAGGGGGGCTAACCAATTACTTCACAATTTACACAAATAATTGAAATTTAATGAAACTATTTTTTATCTGTTAAAGTAAAATTAACATCTATATATATATATATATATATATATCGTGTCATTAATATTACGAATGGTGACAAGTAAGGTCGTCGTTCGGAATCAGTTAAAAGAGATAAATACCTAAGTAAATAGATAGAAATTATTTAGATGCCATGAATTACTTTTCGAATAATGTTGAATACTGTTGTGTAGTGCAACTTGGAACTATTTTTTGTGTACTGAATTGAAAATATTAAAAATATTATATTAAAATATTATATTTTTGTAATTTTCATTTTTTAGAAATACAAACTTACAAGGCTATTTTAAAAAAACTTGATGCAACTGCAATGAAATCGACTAGTTTTAATTGAAACTTCAAAACAAAATAAGAAAGAAAAAAGCAAAGAGAACGATTCTTAAAAGTAAAAAGTTACAATTTATAATTAAAAACACTATAAGAATCGACTATAAGAATAAACAAAAAATTATGTGAGAGCAAACGAAAAAAAAACTTGGTTTAGCTAACGGAATTTATTTTTCTCTTCAGATCATATCAAATCAGTAAACTTTTTGGCCTTTTGCATCCAAAATAATCTGTAGTTCTATTTCATGCATCATATCCAATATATAAAATAAGATTCGACAAACTTATTTCGAGAAGAATGTAATGAAGTATAATGAGGTTCAACAAACTCCACAGTACCCGGATTCTTGTGCAGTAGTCGAACCTAATGAAAACGCTGAACGGTCGCTGTCCCATAAACCTGGTGTTTGAATTATCTGCAAAATTAAAATCTACTGTTATCCATTAGAAAATACTGTTGCCAAAATACTGAATTAACCAATGAATTTAATACCTTACAGCTTTTCTAAATAGATTAAATGGATCAATTTCCTAGAACAAATTCAAATAGACATTGTTTCTTCAACAGCAACAATGAAAATCGAGTTTATTAAACCACAAGTAATTAATGGATCAAGTAATTAATGTCAGAATATCGAACAAAAAAGAGATGAATAAAAAATGTAAAAAGCGCGCTTTTCTAATGAAAGAATAAAATTCGAAAAAAAAATGAAAAGACTTTATTTCCAAAAAAACATTATATCTGTATAGTAATGGGCAATTTAAGTGGCATGATAGCCGAGCGAAGAGCTTAATTCCTTATCTCTGTGACCATAGCAAACTTATCACTGAAAAATCCGAGCGATGCTGGTAATCCATCTGCACTTCTATTGTCAATTGGCCCCTAACAAAAAATTACTGAGAACCAGTGGAGTTAGTTATTTTAAACAGCAATGAGTGCTAATAGTTCATTTATATTTAAATTTTTATATAATATTATGAGGATAAGAGCAAAAATTATGTTTTCAATAATTTTTTTTGATATCAGTGCTGATAGCTAAAATCGCATTTTATAAGCGCATTCTTTTTGCGAACAGACAGAAAGATGCATAAATACAAATTTATATTAATATTTTATATAAATATATAAATTGCAAAATAAATTGAAAAAAAATAGAAACCTTTTCTATCAATTCTTCAAATGCACATTGTACTCCTTCTCGAGTTTTTGCACTAGCTTCTATGAATAACATACGATGCTTCCTCGCGAATTCTAAACCTTCTTCACGACCTACTTCACGATTTAACTAAAAACAATAAATGCTAATATAAATACAAAGAAACATTCGAAAGTAAATTCTAAAAAATATTAGAAAAACTCCTGAGCATTTTAAAAAACTTTCATGGTTGATAAAAAACTGACTTTGTCAATTTTATTTCCCACGAGCATTTTAACAGCATCAGATCTAGTAGAATATGCGTCAACCTCTGTCATCCAATGACCCAGTCTGGCAAATGACGAACGACTAGATACATCGTAAACTAAAATGATATGTGTGCATCAACAAGAATATTTACTGCATCTTCTTCTTCTAATATAGCTCTCACCATTACGGATTAGGTTGGCATTCATATAATTTTTTTTTTCTGCAAAAACATTTTCCAAATCCTATTTTTTCATACTAATAACTCTTTGTATGAACGAAATTAACAAGAAAATCTCCAATATCCTAATCTTATTTCATACAAAGACAATAAATATAGCTATAAATATAATATAATTTATATAAAATGAAATATTATATAAAATGTAAGAAACATACCACAGATTACACCTTGAGCTCCTCTATAATAACTCGGCGTTAAAGTTCGAAATCTTTCTTGGCCTGCAGTATCCTAAATATTTTTATTTATGTAATTTTTTTATCAAGGAAAAAGATTCATCAATGCAAATCAAGTAACGAAAGGGATAATACAATACGCTGCTTAGATTAGTTAGGCCATGGTAAATCCGATTTCTCCTTAACTGGAATGAACTTGCCCCTAAAAGTGAAACTTGGATAGCATTTTGGAGCATAGTTTTGTCCAGTGAGTTTCTGGTACTCATAGCGAATGCTTAGATGGAGAATAAATCGAATAACCAATAAAAACAAAAGATTTAACACAAATAAATGTCATACAAAATACCCAAATTGCGAGTTTTACAAGATTTCCATTAACTTTCATTGATGTTACGCGGAAGTCAACACCTATAAATATATAATGATAATGAAAATATAAATGAGCAAAAACAAGATAAAACTGCAAATTTTTCTAAATATGACTAAATTTAAAAAATTTAAGAACTAAAAAAATAGCCCTAAAATTAATTCTAACTTTTCGTAATTTTTTAGTAATTCGCAAAAGTATCATTTCACAGTCATTTGCATATGGTTTAAATGCAAAAAAATCGTAAAAATTTACCAATTGTAGCACTAATTTCTGGATCAAATTTATCGTCAACGAAACGTAGCATCAAACTGAAAACTCACTTTTTTATTTTTCTTCAATTTGATTAATTCATTTATGAACGATAAATTTATGCTGATAAAAAGAATTAATGAGAAAAAGTAACAAGTGTCTTTTAAATCAATTAACCATACGACTTTATATCATCACATTCTATATAAGATTTTATATTCTATACAGATGAAATGAAATATGCCAGGGATTCCCTCGGCTCAGTGGGTTGTTGCTCAGTTGGGAGCGCCGATGCTGACGTTCGATCCCCTGTAGGAACAAACTTGTACAAAAACTCGGGTGGTGGTGGCGACCCACCTTTATTTCTATTGCCAAGGGAGTTCCTGACATATGCCCAACTGCGACAAACCAGTGCAATGAATTTAACCAGTAATGGTGAGGACTCTTAAGAAGAAAATTCCGTATAAAGGATACTATAATTCTGTATACTATAACATAATTGCCTCAGACTATGAATATATATTATATCGATTGTTTTCATTTTGCCTTCCCATTTTAAATGGCCAAGCTATAAATAACCAGAAATAACCAAATTGTAAATAAGAAAAATTGATCCATCCAAATCTTTTTTCGCCATTTTATAAATATTCCACCAAAGTTTTAATTTTATATTCTAAATATTTTAAATTCTAAATTAAACCATCGTAATAGGAAAAAAGCATTGTACCTAAAGTACTAGAAACTTTTCTGACCGCTATAGTTGATAGTCTTCTTATACTGACGAAGACGAGCAAATGGGATAATAAAATTCATTGAACATTGGTCATTTCATTTTTATTTATTATCATCTATTCGCCAAAATTATACACGTTAATTAATGATTGTGTTAATGATTTAGTTTTAAAGGGCAAGTTTGATTAATATTCTTTATGGCTTTAATTGCCTTTATGGCTATAAATCATTTGTTAACATTCAAATGTTGCAAAATAATAACAATCATAGCATGCTCCTATAAAAGAAAAAAGTATATGCAAGAGGTGGTGGGTACCTCATGAATTTTTGCTTTTTTTTTCAGGCCCCGTATCATATATTCATTTAACATTATACTGTATCATATATTCGTCTCTGTTTAACGTTAATCGTCAATGTTATTAACTCTAGATATTTTATAATATAATATTTTATATTATAATATTCTATAATATTTTTGCTCCACTTGATTTTTTTCAATAAATATAGTTTCAAAATATTCCTTCCTAAATAATGTAATAAAAATAATGTAATAAAATGATCTAAAAGAGTATAACCAACTAAAACGAAATAAAAATACAATGCAATAAAATATATTATTATATTAAATATATTATATATTACATATTATTATATTAAATATTATATTATATATTATTATATTAAATATATTATATATTACATATTATTATATTAAATATTATATTATATATTATTATATTGAATATATTATATATTACATATTATTATATTAAATATTATATTATATATATTATTATATTAAATATATTATATATTATATATTATATTAAAAATGTATTATATAATAATATATATTATATATATTATATATTATATTATTATATATTATATATTATATTAAAAATGTATTATATAATAATATATATTAAAAATGGAAAAAACACCAAGAAATAAAATAAAGAAACCTCGATTTGCCAACGCCACTTTCACCGATTATAAGTATTTTCAATGTAGTAATAACAGGTTTTTCGTCCATTTTTTTTGCAACAGCAGTTTACTTCAACATAAGCATCGAACAATTCTCGTATAAAAATCTGTATATATTTGATTTAATATGGATATATTAAACTTTAAATTTAAAAACTATTTAAAATTAGGCCGAAAATTTGTTTAATTAAATTTAATTTCTAATTTTTCTTTTTGTAACTTGAATTTTTCTTGATTTCCGGGAGAAATTCTAATAGGCAATAGTTACCCGGTACTGCGCCATAATCAAGGACTCTACTCATCCTCAACAACTCATTTTACGTCACTATCTGATCACCGATATTTGTACGAAAAATTATCTGTACGAAAATAGTTGACTTTTTTTAGACGTAAAATCGGGCATTCCACTGCTCATTGGACTCGCTCCGCTGGTGTTCGATTAAATAAATATACCAGGCAATCCTCTGTGATAAAGACAAATGTGAATAGCCAGCATAACCCTGTTTTTTGGATTATTTCTGTCGGGAATTGAACCTCAGCGCCAGCGCTCCGAGCCACTATGTCATGCCACTGGATTTTCCTTTGTTTTCTTCGTTACGCGACACTGCCACCCGATGAAGCATGATGGGTCGGCCGGATTCAAGCCAAAGCCTCCACTTTCCGTGGCCACTGAGCAACTGACACCTCCACTGTACTTATTCAAATGGCTGCTAGTACAGTGAAATTTTTGGAGTCATTTAGCGATAGAAGTACAGATCGTGCCTAGTGTGAACCAGATTTTTTTAACCATCTTTGTTTCTGTTGGAAATAAAGTCCAACAATCTGGGCTGCAATCACTACTATCAACCGGAAAAAACTAATCTTAAGCGTTTATCACTAACTGCTAGGGCTTCGTCGCAGCCGAACTTTTTTAGTGATATAATAGACGGATGTTGGGCGATAAAGGTTCTCCTCACGTTCCGGCGGTGCTTATCGCCTATCAGCAAGTGCATAAGCGCGCACCAAGGTCAGCGGAACCATTCGCTAAACTTAATTTCCTTCAGAAATCCAATTTCAGTTCGTTTGCTAGAATTTAGCGGTATAATCTTAAGCAAAAAACAATACGGAAAATAAAAATAACTGGATAAAATGAATAAAAAGTGAAAAATTTGGTTAAATTCCGCATCGGTAAATCGAAATTAATTTTATCAAAAAATGTCAGCTGATGGAGTTGGAAACTAGCCAAAAAATCGTTTTTTTTGTATGATTTCTTGGAACGGCTCGCGGAATTTTGCAGCACAGAAATTATTAGCACGATAAGCTGCTGGGTTTCCTCATCAGCTGATCATTTTCTTCTGATTTTACTAGCATATTCCTGATTTGGCTGACTTTATGGGCTATTGGTGGCGGAGCGGATGATTTTGACCGCAGGTGCATTTAGGTAATGGAAGAAATGTGGATGGCTTCAGGCTCATGTGGATGTCACTTATAATGGCATCTTTCTCAAGCGACAAGAATCGAGCTTCGACCATGATTCTCAGTCGACCGCTGCGATTAATGATAATGTATAAGCAAGTCTATAATATTAACTATATTTAAGGATTTACTCGAGTAAAATACGACGAATTCGATATAAATAAGGACAAATGAAGAAAATTCTTCTTTCTTCCTTCTTCTAACATCTTTCATCATTACTGGTTTGGCTGGCTCCAATGGCTATAAGGGTAAGAGGCTTCCAAACGGCATGGTCTGATGCCATCGTCGAAAGTAATAGAAGCCATTCTTTTTTCCATCGTCTAAGTCCATATATTGCTGGTCCATCTATATATTCAAAATCTTTTCTGAATCAGTCCAGGTCTTGATTGGCCCACCTCGCTTTTGACGTCACCCATCACACGGTTTAGCAAATAACGAAATATGCGTCCTATGGTGGACGACGGAGAACGTGCCCTAACAACCGAAGGCGACGCTATGTAATAACTCTGTAATTACATTATTAATGCAAGTGGTATTTGAACGAAGATGGAATTTTATCCGCTCAACGGACCGTAAAATATACCTTAGACAAGAGTGCTCAAAGGTAGATAGCTTCTAAATATCTTCCACTCTCATTGGCCATGTCTCAGAAAATTAAGCTAACGATAATCAGTTATTGTAACTGAAGGAATTGCTGTAATTTATTGATAAAAATTCTTGTGATACGAGCATTATGTGATACGAAACTGAAATTTTGATTAGCTTTATGCATCTGCTTGCAGTTGTAAATTAATCGCTCGCTTTTCCTCTATAAATAGACAAATAGTTGTCTTCGTTGGCTATTAAATATTGTGAAAGAATCAACTAAAAATGGAGAGTGAACTCGTCAGGTTGTCAACCTTTGGGTTTTTTATGTTGTTGGATGCGGGACCCTACTTTTGGTACTCGCTAATCGCAATAACAAGCAATGCGCCTGTATGTTCCCATGTATGTTAGCAAAAAATGGACTGGAAGTACGGAGAATTTTTTCAGAAATACTTTGTGATTTCTTCTTCGTTCGTTCCAAAACAATGAGGTGTATGTATATTAGAAATCGTAGATGAAAGATATAAGTAAAATATATATGTATATGCATATTCACCAGGGAATAGGATGGCTTAGTGGGTTGTTATTCAATTCGGATCGCTGATATTAAGGTTCCATTCCCCGCGGAAGTAAACCTGTCGAAAAATCCAGGTGATGCTGGCGACTTACTTGTATTTCTATCGCCAAGGTACTCTCTGGCATATTTGTTTAATGGACAAGTCAGCGGAGCGAATTTGACCAATAATGGTGAAAACTCTAAAAAAAAAATTCATCAGGGAAAACTTTTTAACAATTTGCATTATTGATGCTTTGGCTGGCGCCTTGACGATAAAGGACGTGAGACGTTCTTGGAGGGTGTAAAAATCATTTTTTCAGGTCATATATGGGTTCAAAACCTTTGCCTCATTGAAGTCTTGGTTCTCTCTGTATTTTGCTGGTTCCATTACAGGATTTAGCAAACAACGAGATCATTTCCTGCGATAAAGAATATGGCCTAAGCTTAGGCGACGCTTTCTGACGTTGTAAATACATATATTCGAGCGAATGGGGGTGCATTTTTATGAAACAGTGTGCATCATAAAGCAAGGAAGATGTGAACCTTTTTGTGGCTGATTTTGATATGTTGTTCCGAAGAGACTTTGCAGAACGAAAGATGACACATCTAATTGAAGCCATACGAGCTGCAATTTCAGCTTTTCTCTCGCCAGTAAATATGACTGAATCGAAATATCTGAAATTTATTCTCTCTCTCTCGAATATACTCGAACCATTGATGACTTTATAGAAATTACGTTC